TCTGCCCATGTGCTAATTCTCGGCCCCATCACTGAAGCTAGAGAATGGGACATGTGACTGAGAGTGGGTCATGTGACTGTGCATTTACTAGAAGGAGGGGAAGAAGAGGTGCTGAACAGACAAAGGAAAAAGGAGCCCCTAGAGACATTTCAAAGATACTGACTGGAGTCATAACTCAGTGCTTAGCAATGTGCTTATGTCACAAAGTTAAATATCCCTCAAACTCCCAAGTGCCCCATGCCTCTCATAATCTAAATCTACAATCAATTTTCCAATTACTACTTTTTGTCCATAAAAACTTTCAGAGTTACTTGAGGCCTCTTCATACTTGTTTTATTTCTTCTGCTCCAATACAATGTAACATTCGTGGTGGATATTGTGACTGGCTCACTGAGGACGACTGTCAACCTCCCTTCAGAATTCTTCAGCCGGCGCAGCCTGGAAAGCAGATACTTCACTTCCCAGACTCCCTTGCTCCTGGGTTCTGGATGTGAGGTGAGCTCTACCAAACAGAAGCACGGCCAGAGACTTGAATTTGGAGCTGAGTTAAGTGGAGAGAGAGGCAGGGCTTGAGACTTTCATTTTGTTTGGGCAGACTGTAGCATCCATGACCAGATCTGGAGCCAGTGGCTGTGACAGCATCTGCTCAATTTAGCAGATGGCGGCTCCTGAGTTGTGGCAAGAGAAGCAGCTTTGCTGGTGGCCAAGTTCTACATGTGGCTTTGGGATTTGTTCCTGGAAGTTCGCTCTAGCACGTGTTTTTAAAGCCTACCCAATGATTATGTCAGTTATTTGATAGTCTACAATGAATCCTTTTCTGATTAAAGGCTTGAATAAATTCTGTTCTCTGATTGAATCCTGACTGATACAACATAGAAACTAGTTTTAAAAATGACACTGGCCTTTTTGTTTTTCCTTTCTCTGTAATTACATGGATACAAACCATGAAGTGAGGTTGGCATTATTTGCTGCATTCAATGAACAGGTGAATTGTTCAGATTGACAATATCAGGTAAACTCCAACATCAATAATATATCAGGCTTAGGTCTGGATTTTAAGAAATTGACATGATTCATCCAAATGTCTTTGTGGGATTGCTTTGAAACAATAGAACCTTACTGACTGCGATATTTAAATTTTAATAGAATTTGTGGATTTCTCTTGTGCATCATAATTTTTATATAACTAAGTAATTATTTTCCAGTGGATAAATGGGCCATGAGCATCAACATATTACTCTCAAAAGAGGAAATAAGTGAAAACATCTAATCGACATATGTTCAGTGTATGTGTTCAGTCTTATTTGTAATGAAAGAAATGCAAATTAAAAAACACGTGTTATGGTGATTTACCTCCTTAATGAAATGAGCGAAGGGAAAGCAATAGGCATACAGACACCTACTAGAGAGCAGTGGATGAGCCCTTTCACCTACTGAGGAGGAGGATGAAAGGGGATGGGTCCCCTGGGCTCTGTGAGACTTCGAGAACTGGAGACCAGCTCAGGTAACCTTAGCTGGCAGGAGTTTATCAAATAGATGAACAGATGTCTGAGGAGGGAGGTAAAATGGGAAATGTAATCAGTCCTCAAGTCACCCAGAAGGCTCTTCGGGACCTGGCACTCCCAGTGGTCTGACAGCTGTTTTGGTCACTTGGTAAGAAGTTTAGTTGTTCCCACGGAAGCTGGGATCCATTGCTCCCTCCTCTAGTGCTTGTCATAATGGTGACTGGGGACTCTTTCTAAACCCTGACTCAAACTGGCTGAATCAAGAAAGGAATTCACTGGTTTTCTTGCCTGGAAAGAACAAGGGCAGGATTGGCACAGGACATCTGGACATGAGGGCCTCGATGGGGTTATTCTCTCTGCCTCTGTCTCTGTCATGTCTGCTTCCCTGTGAACTGGATTAACTTTAGAGCGTGCTCTCTCCATGTGATGGCCCTGGTAGGTCACTTACCATCTCAAATCCTCATTCTAAAAAAATGGAGCGACAAGCCACCTATACAAGGAGCCAATGAGATAGAGTATATGTAAATATTTTCAAACCACCACATTTCAGAAGAATATATTAGTTGCTATGAGCTCAGTGGTCTGCTTGGAAACAGTCCTTCTTTTAACTTGGCATCTGTACCTTCTTCTCTGTTTCTGATTATTAACAAAATGGTATTGATTTTATTGAGCAGGCAGTCCTGCAATTTGGCACATATTGGGGGACTAAGGACTCTGAGAAGCATTGGGAAAAGATGAGCTCAGCTGACCTTTTACACTGTGTAGTAGACACTATTGTTAGCATTTATAGTGTTCATAGTCCTGCTCAGTGATACCTGAGTGATGTGATGTGTGTTGTCCAGTGCTGAGGTGAGGAAAAGCTGATGCATAATTCTCTAGACACTCTCTTTCTTGCCATGGTGATCTAGAAGGCCAAAAGTTTTAGATGGATGCATCTATGAGATGACGAACCTCTGTCACCGAGTCTCCAGTGGCTGTGCAGGGCAGAATAGCCTGCCTATCTATAAGGGCTGTGGTCCCTGAGCGAGCAAGAAAGCTTTGTGTTCTTCAGCTACTGATTGATATCTAGGGTTGCTCCATCATAGCAGCATAACCTAATGTCCACTGAGAAGAAATCTGGAGGCTTCAGGAAGATTTTTCAAGATGTGAAATTCATAGTGGCTGGATGGAAAAGAGCCAAGCTAGGAGTGCCAAGTGAAATGGGGGTGCGGTGAAGTTGGGGGGGCAAATTAAAAACAGCTAGCTGAGGAAGCTGTGTGATTTAGTGGAAAAGGCATGCACTTTGGAGTCAAATAGACCTACCTAGGATTCAAACTGAGGTTTCAGTTTTTATTTTATCTTTGCCTTTGACCAAGTTGCTAACCTCTGTCACTCTGGTTACCTACATAATAACTACATTACACAGTTGCTGAAAAGATTACCTTATGTACATGTATGCATATGGCTAGCACTTCGCACAGTATCTAACAGTTGGTAAGTAATCAATAAAGTTAGGTGCCCCTTCTCTTAGTCTGCTTCCCTCTAATACTATTTCTAAGCTTGGTAGTTGCTAAGTTTTGATTTCAGATTCAACAACTGGGACTCCTTCAAGTTTAAAGTCCTCACTCCAAGGTCCGCATCCCTCATTTCCCTGCTAGAGCTTTGATATTAGAAGGGAATGCTGCCAAACCCTCTGACTTATTGCTTCATTTGTAGTGCACTTGGATTCTGAAGAGGAAGTCACGGCCAGTGTCACTGAGTCTAAAGTCTGAGCTAGGGAGAGCTTGAGAGAGGTGTAGAGGCCGGTGGCAGTGGTAGTGTTCCCCTTACTGACATTTCAGCTTCCTGCTGCCCACGTTCGTATAGGCCTGCCCGGTTCCTGCCTCTCCACTTGTCATTTAGAGCAGCCTTCAGTCTGGTGCATTCAGCTCCTTCCACCCTGACCTTCAAGAAACATTTTTGAAGAAACTGTGTTCAAAACTAAAGGAGAACCATTACATCCAAAAATATGAATATAAAAATGAGCTTACTGGACAAGAACCTGTCATCTGAGCAAAGTGGAATCACTCACTGACACCTGGAGGCCTTGGAGGCTACAGCCATGCACCGACGCCCCTGCCACAGCCGCGAAATCACTGATTCCAAAGCCCTGTTTCCTCCTTGAATATATATTAAATCCTCACCGGAGGATATTTTTCCATTTATCTTCAGATAGAATGGGGGGTGGAGGAAGAGAGGGAGAGAAAGAGAGAGAAAGAGAGAGAGAGAGAAAGAGAGACATCTATGTTTGAGGGAAATACTTCCACTGGTTGCCTCCCACACGACCCCAACCAGGGCCTGGACTGAACTGAGGTATGTACTCTTGTACCCTTGTACCCTTGACCAGAATCAAACCCCCGACTCTTTGGTCTGCAGGCTCAGGCTCTAACCTCTGAGCCAAATTTAGTGAAAAGCTTTCCTTGATCCCACCCTGATTGGACCTGCGGACAGGATGTTAATTTTATATTACAAATTGTCCTTGACTGGAGTGAGAACATGCAGAACAGATATATTTTTCAAAAGGATGCATAGATGAGAGAAAAATAATTGAGATTTAGTGTATCAGTGACTGGAAGCTCCAATTCTGAAAAGCAAGGAGGCTAAGAGGGAAGTGAGAGGAGAAAGCCTCAGATTAGTAAGAAAAGTTCCCAGAAGTATGGCTGAGTACCCTCACCGCCTCGCAGCATTTGGCGAATATGAACATCTGCGACTTCATTTACCCTCTACTGTTCAAAGATGGGCTTTGGGGAGGGGACATTTATTTCATCCAGTCTTTACGTTTTAAGAAGTACGTAGGAAGTTACATGATTTTTGAAAGCAAGAGGAACATTTTAATCTGGGGAACAGCAAATCTTTGGGGTCCAGGTCCCCTGGGTAAACGTGGGGAAGTGTCAGGAACCATCTATATCCCCTTCCTTTTTTGAGACTATCCTAGCAAAACCTCTCTCCACTGAGAGCCCAGATGGTTTAGCATTTTGCAGCAAGGAATTGTTCTCGGTTCCCCATTCTTTCTGAGGCGGGACTGGAGCTCTCAGCCCATTTGCAGAGACAGCCTGATGGACATCCCTTGCGTCCAACGGGGGTGGAGCCCGTCCGGCTCGGTGGAGAAGTGGGCTCTGGTCCGGCCCTAGTCCCCTGCAGGAGCACCTGCCCTCTAAGCGCCAACCCCCGCTGCCCGAAAGGCTAACCATGAAAAAAATACCTCCAAAGCCACACGCCGAGAAAAGGATCCAAATTCAGAAAGGAGTGCTCCTCCCGCCTCACCCCCCCCGTATCGCAACACCAATGCTTCCCTGCCTTGCATTCGCGAATTCCCACCCTGGGACCCGGCGGTCTTCCTCGCGCGCCCTCCCCTTCCCCGGCTCCCGCATCGGCCCGGGGCTACCCCGCGCCAGCGGACAGGGGTCGGGCCCACGAGCCCCTCGTGCCGCTCGCCGCGCGCTCCCCGGCTCCACTTTCACTTTCGGTCTCGGGGCTGGGGAAGCAGGAGGCAGCGGCACGAGGGTGAGCCGGCCCGGTCCCAGGCCGCCGGAGACAGCGGGCCCGTCCCAGGTGCGCCCCGCGGGAAGGGGGCCGCGTGGCCGGAGAGGGGCGCGCCCCCGCTTCCTCCCTGTGGCCATCCCGGCCCCGAGAAGGCCGGAGGGCCCGGGACACAGGGAGGAGGGCCGGGCTTCTGCGACGCGGGGAGGGCGGCGGGGGCGGCGGGGTTGGCCGCTGGCTCAGCCACGCTGGGGACCCTCTCGGCGGGGAGAAGGCGGGGGGCGCGGGCCAGCGCCTGTGCTCCCCCTGCTCCGCGGCTCCGCGCTTCCCGGCGGGCGGGAGCCTCCTGTGCGCTCCGCCTGGCGGTGGGGTGCGCGCCCCGCCCGGCCGCCTGACTCCGACGGGGGCCGGATAGGGCGGAAGGGGGAGGGCGGGGGGACAAGGGCCCTTTGCGGACAGTTGCCGGAGAAACGAACGTGGCTTTGGGTTTACTAGTGAGCTGGGGGGAGGGGGCGGGTTGGGATCAGCGATTGTGCGTGTCCCGGGTCCGTTCTCTGTGCTCCTGTAGTCCTCGCGGGCAGTTCTGTGTTCACTTCACTCTGCCTCTAGCGGGGTTCTGTTCAGGTAAAACGCGCGCGTTTGAGCAAATTCATGTTTCCTGTCTGGGCACCGTGCTCGCAGGTGGTACTGCAAGTGAACTTCGTGAGGAACAAGGACAGCAGACACTTCCTTACCGTTTTTCGTGGAGATTCCATGTGTAGGCCAGGTTCTGAAAGACTTTTCTACCAAATGCCCAGAGTATTTGCTCTCAACTCAGCTCAGCATGGGGTCAACAACTTTTATTTTTATTTATTTATTTTTTTGCTTTCTGATTTCTTTTTTTTAATTAATTTATTTTTGTTACAGATGTTTCTCCCCCCCCCCCACTGATTCCCCCCTTCCCCTCCCTCCCCGCCCTGTCCCCAGCTTTGCTGTCCATGTCCATTGTTCATGCACACATGCATATAAGTTCTGTGGTTTATCTCTCCCCCACCACCCCCTCTTCTGGGGATTGTCAATCTGTACCCCACTTCCACGTCTCTGGGACTACCCATTCCTCAGACTGTTATGTTCATTATATTCCACAAAACAGTGAGATCATATGATACTTGTCTTTCTCTGTTTGGCTTGTTTTGCTTAGGATAATACTTTCCAGGTCCCTCCATGTCATCTCAAAGGATAAGAGATCTTTCTTTCTTACAGCTGCATAGTACTCCTTTGTGTATATGTACCACTGCTTTTTTATCCATTTGTCTACTGATGGACACTTGGGCTGTTTCCAGATCTCAGCTATTGTAAATAGTGCTGCTACAAACATGGGGGTACATATATTCTTTCTGATTGGTGTTTCAGGCTTCTTAGGGTATATTCCTAGAAGTGGGATCACTGGGTCAAATGGCAATTCAATTTTTAATTTTTTGAGGTAACACCATATTGTTTTCGATAGTGGCTGCACCAGTCTGCATCCCCACCAGCAGTGTACTGGATCAAAACAATTAAAAGTTGAACTGCCATTTGACCCAGTGGGTCAACAATTTTTAAAAAGTACTCTAAAAAATTGACCAGAGTTGTCTATTTTCCTGACTTGGAATTTTACTAATACCTACTATATTTTAAGGTGGGCCTGAAAAATAGAAGAAAAAAAAATTATATGTTTTTTGAATTAATTCAATATTTTTATTGTTTACCTGCAGTGACAAGTTACTATCACTGCTCCTTAATTTCTTTGTTCAGAACACTTTGGAAGAAAGTTCATTACCTCTTGGTGATCGATTTCACTTTCCATAGTGTCCCAATAAAGGGAAGGGTGGAGAACCCAGGACCAGTTGCCCCTGACTTACTGTGAGTGGGAAAAGGAGAATCGCCAAAGGTAGCCTAAAAAAAGTTTCAGAGGTATTTGAACTCTTTCTAAGTGAAGTTAGGAACTCTGTTACTGCTGCACTTTCATTGACAACATAGACTGTAAAAGACTCTTTACTAAGATCAGATGCCAAAGAAAAAAATAGTTTTTGAAACTTTAAGGAAAGTCAAATACAGGAAAGTTCTTTAAACTTTTATCTCTGCTCTAAATCTGTGTATCCAACTGCCTTCTTTTTTTTTTTCTTTTATTGTTGAAAGTATTACAGATGACCTCCTTTTTTCCCCATTGACCCCTCCTCTCCACTCCCACTCCCCTCCTGCCTTCCCCAGCCTAATGTCCCAGTCCACTGGTTGTGCATATGTGCATATCAGTTCTTTGGTTTATCCCCCCCCCCCCCCCCCAGGTTTGTCAGTCTGTTCCCTACTTCCATGATTCTGGATCTCTTTTGGTCAACAGCTTATTTTGTTCATTATGTTCCACAAATAAATGAGATCATATGGTACTTGTCTTTCTCTGACTGGCTTATTTCACTTAGCATAATCCTTTCCAGGTCCCTCCTTGTTGTAAGAGATCTCTCTTATAGCTGTGTAGTATTCCACTGTGTAAAAATGGACCACAGTTGTTGTTTTTTTATCCACTCATCTACTGATGGGCACGTGAGCTGTTTTCAGATCTTAGCTATTGTAAACAATGCTGCTATGAACATAGGGGTGCATATCTTCTTCCTGATTGGTGTTTCCGGCTTCTTACAATATATTCCAAGCCATCTGACCCAGTGATCTCACTTCTTGGAATATATCAGCTGCCTTCTTGATATTTCCCCTTGGCTATCTCATAGACATCACAAATTAAACTAAAAAATGAACCCTTGATTTCTCTCCTCCCTTTTAAAGTTGAAAACCAGATGATGCCTTTGAGTAGGTGTAAAAGATTGTTGCTAACCATAAACTTTTTTTCTTCTATGAATCAATAACATCAGGAGGAAAAGACCTAGTACTTTTGAAAGTTTATATCTACATTTGTTACTTCTAGGTGGATACATTCTGAACTCATGCTGTCTTGATAATATTTTAGTGACTTTTGTTTTTCTTTTTTCTTTTTTTTTAGGGTAGTTTGGGCAAAGAAGATGATACCTCTGTGCAGCAAATGGTCACTTGGAACCATGTCGTTTCCACTGTCCTCAGTGTTGATTCTCTTAGTTGTGTCAACTACTTTCTGGTGTCAGACAAAAGCTAGTGATGGGACACAGTTTCCTTGGAATAACATGAGACTTCCTGAGCACATCATCCCAGTTCATTATGATCTCATGATCCATGCAAATCTCACCACTCTGACATTCAAGGGGACCACGGCAGTAGACATCATAGCCAGCCAGGCCACCAATGCCATCATCTTGCATAGTCACCACCTGCAGATATCTAAGGCCACCCTCAAGAAGGGAGCTGGAGAGACGCAGTCCGAAGAACCACTGCGAGTCTTGGAACGCCCATCCCATGAGCAAATTGCACTTCTGGCTCTCAAGCCTCTGGTGGTTGGGCTCCTGTACACAGTTGTCATCGATTATGCCGGCAATCTTTCTGAGAGCTTCTATGGATTTTATAAAAGCACCTACAAAACCAAGGAAGGGGAAGTGAGGTATTTTTTTCTATTTTTTTTTTTAAAGTTTCAAGTGTTGCTCACACTAAATGTATTCATTCAAATAATTGTCTTTTAAAATTGCTTTGAATGTTGAATTCTTTCTTTGGTTTGGCTTTTACATCTTTTTTGTAGAGTTAAAAATGGCAATAGTTTGCACTTTTTTTGTTTTTGTTTTTTTTATTTTTCATTCTGTGTTAGCCAGGAGTCCCTGGTGCTTAATGCTGTGTTTTTGTTTTGCTTGCGGTAATTTTAGGATTCTTGCATCAACACAATTTGAACCTACTGCAGCCAGAATGGCCTTTCCCTGCTTTGATGAACCTGCCTTCAAAGCGAGTTTTTCTATCAAGATCAGAAGGGAGCCAAGGCACCTGGCCATCTCCAATATGCCGTTGGTGAGTCTGAACCCCTCTCCGTCTACTCACAGAAGTCCATTGGCTCACTGTGACTTGCACTGCCCCAATGGCGGATCTCATTCCGGTCCCTGTTCTGTTTCTTTTATTGCCTGGCTTTTCATGTGCATTTCCAACCTATGCTTATGTTTCAAGAAACAATTTATTTTCAGTCATAGAAAAAATTGTTCCTCAAAAAGCGCCAGATTTCAGGAAGAGTGACTTTCTAGGTCATCAGTACAGATCTACGGGATTCAGCACTGATGAATTCAGGTCCTTCACAAAGGAAACTTTCACCTTCATTTTCTCATATGATCATTTATTTATTTAATTTTTTATTGCTTTTTTGAGAGAGAGAGAAAGGGACAGAAAGACAGAAACATTGATGTGAGAGAGAAACATCGATCAGCTGCCTCCTGCACACACTCCCTCCCCTACACTGGGGATCAAGCCTGACACCTGGGGATGTGCCCTGACCAGTAATCGAACTGGGACCTCTCAGTTCATGGGATGGTGCTCAATCCACTGAGCCACACCAGCTGGGCTCTCATATGATCTTTTAAAAGGATTTAAAGAGAACGCATTGTCGAATAAGGCCATATTTCTAGTATATAGTTATTTTCTATAATTTCTATATACTAACATTAACTATACAGTTTGTAACCATGGCATGAAATTGGGCAGATAGAAAAAGGAAGAAAGTAATCTTTTCAGAATATTACAGTATAAAAGGTAAGTAATGATAGGTGGTAGCTCCATTTCCTTTAAAGAAACCATTATCCTTCCATTTCAAAGCAGATGTGGAAGTGTTTCCTCTGATTTTTCAAAGTGGCCAGAAAATGACTGTGCCAAATGAGGAACACTGCTCCACAAGTGCCGCTGTCCTACGACTGTGGCTTAGAAGACACGCGGGCTGAGCGGCCATTCTGCAGCGGGTGCGCCCGGCTCCTACAGCACACACTCCGGAGGCTCACTGTGGGTGAGACTCGGGGTGGACCAGGCTTCGTCCAGAGGCCTGCAGGGTGTCCTTCCTCATCCCCGTACAATATCTTCATGTGAAGGGACCCAGAGTGCCACAGACCAACCTCTAGGGCAGTATTTTTCAACCTTAAAACTCTGTATTCCTCCTAAATACCTTAAGGATCCCTTCCTCCAACAAGATCCTGACAGCTGTCCCCCGCCCAAGAGGACCATCCCCTATGAAAAGCATTCTTCTGAAAATCCCTGCCAGCCGAGAACGTGTGCTCCCTCCCCCCCCCCCGCCTGCCCCACATTCAGATATGAAAAGATAAGAAAAGTAATGTCATTTTTCTAGTATCAACTTCAGATAGAGAGCATATAGCTTTTTCAAACTATAGTTCCCTCCCCCAGTCTTGTGTGCTGCTCCCAGGGATGGAGTGACTTCTCTAATTAGAGAATTACAGCCTTGGGAGAATAACGGACCAGGGAGAGACTGGTGGAGAAATTCGTTGGCTTGCAGAGGGAAGGCCCGGAGCCCCCAGGCTTTGCGAAGATGCTGGAGTCTAAACCCAAGGATATCCAGGACACCTTGTTGAGGAGAGGAAACTCTCCTGGGACAGGAAAGCCCTCCCCCTGGGCAGAACAGGAGTGGCCTGAATCCGGCTGCAGACAGGGAGTTGAGGGAAAGACAATGAAGTCTCAAAAGATCTTTTTGGAAGCTAGAAAAGCAAATAGTTAATTGCATTTAAATGTGAATTAGTTTATTTAGTTTACTTTTCTCATAATTAGCACAACATCAGGAATGGGAGTTTTGTTTAGGAGTTGGTAAAGGCATTTTAAAAAGAAAAGGTAATTTTGGATCTTTCAAGTGGCTATTAGCGTCAGGGTTTGAATGACCAGAGGGTGACCAGCTGGTGGTTATTAAAAAGAAGGACCAGCCTGGCTGGTGTGGCCCAGTGGTTGAGCATTGACCCATGCACCAAGAGGTCGTAGGTGGTGGGCCTGATCCCCAGTGGGGGCATGCAGGAGGTGGCCAGTCGATGTTCTCTCTCATCAATGTTTCTCTCTCTCCCTCTCCCTTCCTCTCTCTCTCTAAAAATCAATAAAGAAAAAATAATTTGTTTTAAAAAAAGAAGGACCAGAGCCCGGAAATAGAGGTGGAAATAAGATGAGCGGAAAAATGCATAGTTAACGATGGAATGCCCAGGCTAGTTTCAGATGGTCCTTTCTCCAAATCCTGCCCCAGACGTTGTGTTGGCTGAGGTACTAGACTTTCTTCTTTGGGAGCAGCGCTCTTACCTCCATCACTCCCACCCCCTCTGCAAGGCTGTTCCTGATTGCACTTAGAAGCTGATTCCAGCGAAGCAAATCTGTTTGGAGAGGTTTTCAGGGTCAGGCCCAGGCATGGTTAGGGAAAAAACATAAGCTCCTTTTAGGCTGTATAATGGTTATGTACTTTCCCAGGGTAGAAAATATTTAGACATTGCACTTCCAGATAATTCTGATCCCTGCATTTAAGGACGAGTGGCCTACATCTTGGCAAAACCAGCAATCTCAGTTTTGCTTTGCCCCATTCATTATCGATCCTCATGTACCAAATATGCGTCAGTTTGCAGTCATCTGGATCATTTATAAGAAATCAAGTGGTGATGGTTGCACAACTCTGAATATAATTTTAAAAAACCACTGAATTTTATACTTTAAATTTGTGAATTTTGTGGCATATGAATGATATCTCAATGATGAATAGAACGGCTTGGCCTTACTGTCTAAATTACAATCAGATATTGGAAAGAGAAATTTTAAAATAATTGTACAAATGTCATGCCGTATACTTTCAGTAATATATCTGGTAGTAAATTTCTGTTTATAAAATGTTTTCAGTGTTTTGGATCATTTGATGATTAAGTTATTCGATTGCAGGTGAAATCCGTGACTGTTGCTGAAGGACTCATAGAAGACCATTTTGATGTCACTGTCAAGATGAGCACCTACCTGGTGGCCTTCATTGTTTCAGATTTTAAGTCTATCAGCAAGATGACCAAGAGTGGAGTCAAGGTGAACCTGTGATTGTCACATAGGGTGACTAACTTGTCTTGGTCTGCCTGGGACTGTCCTGGTTTTAAAACTGGAAGTCCACATCCTGGGAATCCCTTCAGTCACAGGCAAACCAGGGTTGGTGATCCTGCTGTCACAGATGCTCATATTTACAGTGAGTTTGTAATAACAAAACACGTGGAGAAGCTTGGCCTGGTGTGCATCATGGTCCACCACTAACTGGCTCTCTGACCTTAGCCCTGCTTCCTCCCTTTGGGACTGGTCTATACTTCTTTCAAATGTAAACTGGACTGGGTCCTACAATGGTTTCTAAGGTTACTTCTGGCTATAACTTTCTGCAGTTTGGAAATGAATGCCACAGACTATTTGAGCAGGTAGTTTCTGGCCCTGGGAAGGAAGGAAGATAGAGCATTCTGCTTGGTGTAGTAAATGGCTCTAGGGAGAGCCTTTGGGCCAGGGAATACTGGAATACTGGAGAAAAAAATTCTTGTTTCAAGGAGCATTCACTCCTTGTCTGGGTACCATTGTGTAGTGAATGCAAATATGTACATTTTTTTGGCAAGGAGCTGCAGAACACTTTATTTCGAGATACTTCATTTTTTTCACTGGGGCCTGAATAGTTAGGGTTTCTCTGCTAAGTCACCTTTTGTTCCTATAGGGCTGAGGCTTCTTATCCTGGTGTAGACATCTCTACTTATCTGGGGATTTGAAGGTGATGCTTGAGACTCAAATGTAGGGAGCAATCTAAATTCAGCAGTGAAACTATCAACAAAGCACCCACTCCTTGGTTTGCTCTTTTTGTGGATCTTTTTATGAATGAGTTTTTATTATGACTCTTCCATACTGTGATATTGTGATTTATAATAAGAAATATGTATTTGCTCTTCCCCCTGATTCTGGCACAGAGCTCCAAAAACCCTTGAGTTTCCTAATGAAGGGAGTGATAAAGGTGTCTCATGTTTTGTTAATGAAGGTGACCTTTGGAAAGCCCCTACATAACCTAAGGATGGGGGCTGGTTGCCAGGAATAAACCGGGTGATTGGAGGGTTGAAACTTGCAATCCCAGCCCCTGGGATTAAGTTCCATTTCCAGTAGCTGATGATCTGATCACTGCCTGTGTCTGTGCCCCAAGGATGGGCTCAGAGGGTTCCAGGTTGGTGCATGTGTGGAGGTGCTGGGAGGGCAGCGGGCTAGGACAGGGCACTGAGGCGCTGCACCTTCTCCGTATCTCGTCCTGTTGTACCTCTTCCACGTGACTGATCCTGACTTACATCCTGTTACAGTGAACTGGTAAATCTAGTAAGTAACTTCTTCTGAGCTGTGAACCGCCCAAGGAGGGGGTGTGGAAACCTCCAGTTGATATCCACTTGTTCAGAGGCTCAGGTGACAACCTGGACTTTGGACTGGTGTCTGAAGTGGGGTTGGGAGCAGTCTTGTAGGACTGAACCCTCACCCTCTGGAATCGGATGCTGTCTCCAGTTAGTGTCAGAATTGCATTAAACTGTAGGACACCCTGGTGTTGGAGAATTGCTTGGTGATGTGGGAGAAACTACTCCCACACCCCACACACTGGAGCTGGGTCCCAGAATCCCTTTTACATACTAATATTTTTAGTCCTTTTATTTCTTTAAACATATTAGACATTCATTTTATATTCTGTATCTAGTAATTGTCATGGTACAGTCTTTGTGTGTCTGGCTCTGTGGTTTATGGTTTCTGCTGGCTTTTGCTCATGGTGTCCTGTTCCTTTGTATATGTTGTGAATTCTGTCTGTGAACTTGTATTGCCTGAGTCAGAGGCGGATTCTTCTGGAGAGAATTTGTGTTTGCTCTTGTCAGGTGACTGGAAGGACTTTGAGCACCACTTTAAATAAAATTGCTGGCTTTGGGTGTGTGGACCACCTGGTTATTGTGGATCCAACTGTTCAACAGCATGAAGGTTAGCTGTAGGTTACAAATCTCTGAGGAGGTCTTCCATTCTCCCCCATATAGTACCAAAGTTTGAAAACAGTCATTTTTCAATGCAGTCTTAAGGAACTAGTTATTTCTAGTTCGCCCTCACAGAAGAAAGCTGTGGCCCCGCGGGGCGCAGCCTTTTGCCGAGGCGCCCCTCCTGTTACACTGACCGTCTGCAGCCGGCTTGGGACATCGTCTTCTTCCCCTGAGTTTTCAATGCCATGAAAACCAAAGCTCAAGTTGGTCTGTACTGGGCTAGTGTCCCAAAGCTGGTGGCATTGTTCTGCTGACTTGTGAGGGTCCTACTGTCACTTCGCTTCTGGCTTCTAAGTTGTCTTTGTCAGTACCTCATAAAAACATTTAAAGGTACCTGTCTGTATATGTCATCCAGCATCTGTAGTTGTTTTCAGAAGGGGAGTTGATCGGGAACAGTCAACGTTAATACAAGAAGTAGAACCTCCAGCCGCCTTCTTGAGTGCTGTCAGCCGTATCCCACGTGGGAACCGTCAACGTCAGCCTCCCGTGCAGTTAGAGAGCAGCCCCGAGGGCACTTGAGTAACGTGCTCACGTCTTTCCCTTCAGGTTTCCGTGTATGCCGTGCCGGACAAGATCAACCAGGCCGACTATGCACTGGACGCTGCGGTGACCCTGCTGGAATTTTATGAGGATTATTTTAGCATTCCATATCCCTTACCCAAACAAGGTAGAGATTTTGCACAGATATTACAAAATGTGGCATTTAATGACCCCAGCCATAGACTGTATTCCCCTAATTAGCATCCCCGTGATTATCTCACCAGCCCCTCAAATCATTAAAGCTCTGGCAGGTGTTAACTATTGGGTTGATCCTACTCACCCCTGATCTATTCAGTACACTTCTAATGATTGTAAAAGCAGATCTTGGTACAGTTCCTGAGGCACATGGCATGGAAATAAATCTGCCTTTGGACTTCAAAGAGAAACCCAACTATATTAGTGGGCGACAGCAAAGGGCAAATGCTGCATTTTTTACATTATTGGCACATACGTGGTAAGAACAGAGAAGATGCTCAAAAAATATTTTTTGAATGAATGAATTTACACAGCAGAAGAAAATCTGCATTTTCTTATAAGACCCCTTAAAATGTGTTTGAGGTTTTTAGGGGTATGGGTTTTTTTGATATTCGAAGTAGAGTGGATTATTGACTCAATTATAAAAAGTACTCAATCCTATCCTTGTCAGAAAGTTAGAAATGGAGTCAGGAGGCCTGAGACCAGAGTCTGACTTTTTCCCATAGTAGCAAAGGGACTGAATGAGTCACCAAGCGACTTTCCTCTGTTGTTGAAAGGTTCTTCCAGTCTAGAATTCCACGATTCTGCACGGGCAGCTTGTATTTTCTTTTGATTACTACATCCATCCATTCTGAAAGGTAGTGTGTTTGGGCACTGCATCGCTTAGAGACTGGTTAAAATATTTCTGTTGCTTCCTTCCCAAGATCTTGCTGCTATTCCTGACTTTCAGTCTGGTGCTATGGAAAACTGGGGACTGACCACATACAGGGAATCTGCTCTCTTGTTTGATGCGGAAAAGTCTTCTGCATCAAGTAAGCTCCACGTCACGATGATTGTATCCCATGAACTCGCCCATCAGGTACAAAAGCTCACTCACACTTTCTAAAAAGTGTAAACTGAGTCTGTATTGCTTTCACAGGACATACGAGGCTATTCATATATTGTAGTGATCATTTCTACTTTGTCTTTTTTTCTATAGGAAAACTAATTTCTTCAAAGCATTAGGTACAATGTTTTATAATGCACATTAAACAGTTTCTCTTGGTATTTTGATAAAATATTAGTTATATGAATATGATAGCATCTGTATATCTGACATTACCCTTATGAAATATGTTTCCTTCTGAAGGCCTCATGTTTATGGCTATGTAGATAAGCCAGTCTCCATAGAAATGTGTGAGTAACCGGAGGAATGTTTTCCTTTCAGTGGTTTGGGAACCTGGTCACTATGGAATGGTGGAATGATCTTTGGCTAAATGAGGGATTTGCCAAGTTTATGGAGTTCGTGTCTGTCAGTGTGACTCATCCAGAACTGAAAGTTGTAAGAAGTATTTACTTCATATTATTTTTTTGACCTTTGAGGTTAATCTGTTGTTGTTGTTTTCTCAATGTTTCTGGAAAATATTTACTGCGCTTTGATTATAGAATTCATAAAATTCATAGTTTAATAATTTCCTTGGGAGTTTAGATATGAGTCGTATTTGTAAAATGCTAGTGAACTTTAAAGATATATATCGCAAACACTTATTTTCAAATGAATTGTGAATCTGGGATTGTTGTAAAATTGTATTAAATTTTGTCCTCCCTTAATGTCAAAGAAATAGAAATAATGACGGCCTGTCTGTTCTGTATCATTTCCCCAGCCGTCACGTTGCTCACTGAAGTATTCAGTAAAGATTGCTATTATTTCAGTAGAATTCTACTTGCCAAATCAAATAAATTATGCTTAAGGTAACTGCACATTTGATTGTATATGAACCTAGACTCAGAGGTTGCAGATTTAATGCTTTGGAATATCTACATGTTTATTTTAAAAATCATGTGTTTAACTTGTGAAAATCACATGCAGTAAGATTTAAAAGAAACTATAAATTTTATGTAAAAAAATGTACCCTTCTATAATGATTTTATTTGTTTGTATTCATTTTCTATTTTCATTTTCCTATACATGTAATTTATACAGTTATAATTACTATACTATAAAAGATCATAAATATTTTTATATGTTTCCACACAATCTTTAAAAATGATTATGTAAGTGTATTATTCTATTGGTTGATAGGCCTTAATAAATCAGGTTATAGATGGAATTTGTCCTCCATTATTTTTTCTTTCACTACATGCTTTTAAAGCTAAATTTCTTTATTTGAAATAGTCTAGATGATGATTGGAAATGTTGAAATTAGTATACATTTTAGTTTCTTGTTTTGTTACTGTTTGGCTATAGGCATAAAGGTTTTGTTTTTAAGTTAAAATGAATTTTTCTTTATTCTAAAGTGATAAGTAAATATTTAAGATGAGAGAAATATAAAATGTTTACCTAAAATCATTGTTTCTTAGATGCTCTTTAAAAATGGCAATTCCATTTTGTTTTGTAAATTCTATAAATATGAAATATATTGGACCAGAAATTTGAACCTGTTGCCCCAGATCAAACCTTCCTCCTCTTAAATTTCAAGTATAAGCCTATTGCCTCAGATCAAATGTTCCTCATCTCATATTTTTCATCTACATGTAAATCATAACTGACATTGTCTTTTTTCTGTCTCAATAGGAAGATTATTTCCTGGGCAAGTGTTTTGATGCAATGGAGGTAGATGCATTAAATTCTTCTCACCCTGTGTCCACCCCTGTGGAGAATCCTGCCCAGATTCGGGAGATGTTTGATGAGGTTTCTTATGAGAAGGTAAAAATAGATTATAATGATGTAATTTGGACACTAAAACTTATAGTACATTTTTTTTAATCCTCACCCAAGGATATTTTCCCTTGATCTTCAGAGAGAGAGAGAGAGAGAGAGACATATGAGAGAGAAACATGGCCTGGTTGCCTCCTGCATGACCCCGACCAGGGCCAGGACCAAACTGCAACCAACCTGCCCTTGATGGGAATCAAACCAGCAACTCATTGGTCTGTGGGCCGACGCTCTAATCGCTGAGCCAAACTGACCAGGGATTTTTTTTTTTTTTAATTGGACACTAAAACTTATAAATACTGGGGTGGAGAGGATATAGAGAGGGTCGTGGGGTAACTGCCCCTTTACAAAGAGCAACCTTGACCAACTACATTCTGTTCTAACCTGTGTTGGCTAGAGTTCACTTTTGAGGTCTAACTTGCAATTTGTCTCATAATCCTAAGGATTAAATTTTGGTAAATGCTTCGTTTACTCTGTCACACATTGAAAATGCATGGCCTACAGAAACTCTGCCTTTTATTTATTATTCAACAAATAGGTCTTGATTGAGTGCTGACCTAGTACCAGGCAAAAATTCCTGCCCTTGTGTGGCTAAACCTTTAGTGCTTTTAGGAATGGTTTGCATTGTCGAACTGCAAAATATTGTCCTGCATAATGTGTTTAATAACAGAACTGGAAATTGTTGCTCACATTTAATTGTGGGGAGATTTTATGTAAAAATCCAGATTTCTGGCTTCTCTTGGGGGAGAGGAAGGAGGGTTCTGGTCACACTGGACCTGTATGTCCCTAGGCAACATAGGCTGGAGCTAAGTGATGGCTCCTTGATGAGATCAAGTTTCTACTTTTCCATGTCCCCTTCCAACGTCAACTGTTTCTATTGTTGTCTTCTCATTGAGGCAGAGAATGTGTTATTTATGATTGTGCTTGGCTGCTGTTTTATTTGTAGCAAACAGAAAAGTATTTCTTGCTTGGATGTTTTTGTAATAGTACAGGGGAGATTAAAAAAAAACAAAAAACACATACAGCCCTAGCCGGTTTGGCTCAGCAGTGAGAACATCGGCCTGTGGTCCAGAGAGACCTAGGTTGGGTTCCCGCTGGGGGCATGTACCTCGGTTGCAGTTTGTCCCCGGCCCTGGTTGGGTTGTGCGGGTGTTTACCACTCGATGTGTCCCTTTCACGTTGATGTTTCTCTCTCTCTCTTCCTCTCTCTCCCTCCCACTCTATCTGAACAAAGAATGGAAAAATGTCCTTCAGTGAGGATAAATAATAATAATAATAATAAAACACATACAAACACATAGATCAATGGAACAGAACACATAGATCAATGGAACAGAATAGAATGTCCAGAAATAAATGTGCATGTATATGGTCAATTTATGACAAAGGAGCCAAGAATATACAGTTGGGAAAGGACCGTCTCTTCCCAACAAAGGACAGTCTGTTGGGAAAACTGGATCCATATCTTATACCATTCACAAAAATTAACTCAAAATGAATTAAAGACGTAAATGTAAGACCAGAAACCATAAACATCCTTAAAGAAAACATAGGGGAAAGGTCCTTGACGTGGGTCTTAGCAATGCTTTTTTGTATGTGACACCAAAGCACAGGCAACAAAGGCAAAAACAAACAAGTGGGACTACAGTAAACTAAAAAGCTTCTGCACAGCAAAAGAAACAAAATGAAAAGACCACATATGGAGTGGGAAAATATTTGCAAATCATATGTCTAATACAGGGCTACTATCAAAATATGGAAAGGACTCACACAGAAAGAAGACATACAGATGGATAACAGGCACATGAAAGATGCTCATCATCACTGATCAGGGAAATGCAAATCAAAACCACAATGAGATACCACCTCATACCTATTAGAAAAGCTACTATGAAAAAGACAAGAAATAGCAAGTGTTGGCAAGGGTGCGGAGAAAAGAACACTTGTGTACTGTTGGTGGGAATGTGTATTGGTGCTGCCACTATGAAAAACATTATAGAGGTTCCTCAACAAAATTAAGAATAGAACTACCATATGATCCAGTAATTTCAGTTCTGTGTGTTTATCCAAAGAAAATGAAAATGCTTATCTACAAATATATGCACTCCCATGTTTATTGCAGCATTACTTGCAATAACCAAGATATGGAAACAACCTAAATGTCCATTGATGGATGGATAGATAAAGGGTGTGTGGTATATGTATACAATGGAATATTATTCAGCCATAAAAAGAAAATCTTGCCATTGGTGATAACATGGATGGATCTTCAGGGCTTTATGCTAAGTGAAATAAGTGAGAGAAAGGCAAATGCCATACCATCTCACTTATAAGTGGAATCTTTAAAAACAAACAAACAAAAAACCAAACACATAGAGAACAGATTGGTGGTTGCCAGAGATGGGGGATGGGAGGTGGGCAAAATAGATGAAGGGGGGTCAGAAGTTGCAAACTTCTAATTATAAAAAGGTCATGGGATGTAATGTACAGCATGGTGACAATAGTCCATCTATTGCATATTTGAAAGTTGCTAACAATAGATTTTTAAAAGTCTTCATCACAAGAAAAAAAATGTTGTAACTATGTTGATGAATGTTAACTAGACTTATTGTGGTGATTATTTTGCAATATGTGCAAATATCAAATCATATTGTACATCTGAAACAAATACAATACTATGTCAGTTATATCTCAATAAAATAAGTACCGATCCTGTTGGCAGGAATATGCACGTCATGTCGAAATTCAGGGACCAGGCTTTGCCTGTCTGTGACCTCACCATTCCCTAGAGCCAGAGAGAGACTACCTCTACCTTGAAGCGACCTAAGAAATTCTTCACAAAAAGAAGACTTTTAAGAGAATTATTCCAAAATAAAGTATGATGGTTGATTAGATTGAGGCCAAAGTAATTAACACTTATTTATTTTGTCTTTTCAGGGATCTTGTATTCTGAATATGCTAAGGGATTATCTTGGTGCTGATGCATTTAAAAGTGGTATTGTACATTATCTCCAGAAATATAGTTATAAAAACACAAAAAATGAGGACCTGTGGAATAGTATGGCAAGTGTGAGTATGTTTTTGTGTATCTCTACATTTGGGATTGACAGGCTTATTATTATTTTTTCTGCATCATCTTAATCCTTCTGAAAAGAATCATAAGTGTTTTCTACAGAACTGAGAGTGATGTGTGTGTTTTCGTTTTCAGATTTGCCCTACAGACAGCACACAAGGGATGGAGGGCTTTTGCTCTAGGAGTCAACATTCATCTTCATCCTCAGTAAGTTTTTACATCTGTACACGTTACCCCTCTGCACATTCTTTTATACCACAGCCTTTGAAGGCTGGCTCTGCGCCAGACTCTCTGAGGTCCTTAATTATATCACCCTCGCTCTTGATAAGACTGCATTTAAACTATACCAGACTGACAGCCTTTCACAATTTAAAAAAAAATTATCTACACCAGGGAGTTGCACAGCCTTCTTTGGCAACACGTCTCACTGAGACTGATCTCTCCAGCTTCACTCTCTGCACAGCAGTGAATTTATGACAGGTTTCTGTGGGAGAGTCGGGCTTTCTCAGTCAGGCTATGTCGATCATTTCCAGAGCTCTTCCTCCATGAGGAAACAGCTAATGGCAGCGGGAATTCGTGAGCACTTACCACGTGTCAGGCACGTGCTCAGCACCCACGTGTATTGTCACCTCTGCTCTTCAGAGTGAACCTCTGAGAGGGGCGCTGTGATACCTGTTTCTACAGATGGGAATATGAAATCCAAAGGCATATGGTTCGTAAACTGCAGAGCTGAGATCTGAGTTTAGATCTAACTCGTCTTTCAAACTAATAAGCCATAAAGAATTCAAGGCATCTGAATCACAACACAGTCTACATCTCCGCTTATCTGGGCTGCTGGACTCTCTTCATAGGCAGCTGTGGGGAGATTTAACAATTTTATCCACCATATTTTTACTTTCTTTGGCTTTTTTTTTGTTTTTAGAGATGGCTTTATTTGGGAATTTGTAGATTTGTTCCATAGCACATTTTATCCTTTTACTAGCTTTTAAATATTTCTTAAGAGCTTTTCTTACTATCAAAGAAAACATCCTCTTTTGAGTACATGATTGCTTGTCAGATGTGGGCCATCTGGGAGTTACCACTTTGGAAGTACAGGCTCTTGATGAACACTTTCCCCCACCTGCTTGTCTGAGAGCCGGCATAATTATGTAGGTGTTGAACACCTGGCCACTTTCCCTTCTCTGCATTCATTCATACCCATGCCTAATTTGTGCCTGGTGCCAAGTCCTCAGTATACCCGGTAGAACCAGATATGGTACCTATTCTCAAGACACTCAGGTGTAGAGAAAGAGAAGGAAAAGTAAACAGTTTGTGCTGCAATGCACGGCAGACTATGGTGGGAGACAGTGGGGGAAGGGAACAGGGCCGGGGCTGAGGAGCCAAGGAAAGGACGGGAGAGAGCTTCACAGGGAGGTGGCAACAGGTAGTTTAACTCCGTCTGTGAGCACAAGCTTGGGTTCCGTCTTTTCTTAGTTGGGTCTAAGTGGGTCACATCTGTCTTTTCCTGTGTACACCAGCACTGGAAACAGGAAGGCCTTGATGTGAAAACCATGATGAACACCTGGACACTGCAGAAGGGCTTCCCCCTGATAACCATCACAGTCAGAGGGAGGAATGTACACATGAAGCAAGAGCACTACATGAAAGGATCTGATGGCACCCCAGAAACTGGGTAAGGTCATTGAGAAAAACTCCTTTTGTTGCCTCACTAACATCTGCTTTGTAGGATAAAACTTTATTTTTGAATTAGTGCCCTTACCTTTATTGCTAAAGTATTTTAATCAAATCTATATATCCTATGAAGTTGACTTATATACCACCATCTCCCCAGGAAACCTTGGTTCATCTCAGAGAAGCTGATGATGTATAATTATTTTAACATTCTCATCTTTTGTAATTTGATAGAGTGGTCATTTTCAGTTACTGACTTGAAATAAGCTCCAATCTAAGTTACTGCCACTAAATGACAATAGTGCCGGGGAATTATGATTTCCGGGACTTATGAGAGACTCAATTCTTTTCCATTGAAAGTCTGAGTTAGGTCCTGGAACTTGTTTGTCAACTTAACACCACAGAAGGACATCACTGGAAATAACACACTGCAGATTGATTGGCCCTATGTGGACACTTTTTAAAATTGTTTATTTTAAGACTTTTAGACTTAATGGAGAAGTTTCAAGAAAGTGAAAATAATTTCCATATATTTTTTACCCAGATATATAACTGTTTATACCATATTTGCTTTATGTCTCTCTGTCTCTCTATATATGTATATAAAATCTTACTGAACTCTGATATAAGATAAGCTTTCTCAAAATTCATCTCTCTACATCTATGCTATATGTATATGTATGCGTGCGTGTGTGTGTGTGTGTGTGTGTGTAACTTTCCTCTGTTTGAGAGTCATTTGGACACATGATGCTTCTTTACCTCAAAATACTTGTGTGGTATTTTGTAAAAACTAAGAACTTTCACTTATATAACCACAACACAATTATCACGATTATGAAATAAGCTTGATACAATGCTATTATCTAATTTATAAACCTTATTTAGATTTTACCAGTTGTCATAATAATGTCTTGTAGTAAAAGAAAAAAAAATTCTGGTTCAGGCAGGATTCAATATTAGAATCACATTGTATTAATTGTCACATTTCTTTAGTTCTATTTCTCTGAAACTTCTCTTCAGTCTTTGCCTTTTTTGACCTTGACATTTTTGAAGAGTACAGGCCAATTATTTTATGGAATGTCCTCCAATTTGGGTTTTCTGCTGTTTTTTCATGATCGGATTTAGGTTATGCATCATTAGTAGGAATTCCATAGAAGTGATGTGTTCCTTTTATATATGATTTAGGAGGCACATGATGTCAATTTGTGCCATTACTAGTGGTCACGGTTTTTAAGTTTGGCCCTGTGAGCTCCCAGCCAATCACTGTAAAGGCTGTCAGGGCTCACTTGAGCCCAAATTCCTAACTCTACTTAAGGAGCCAGAGAAGGATGAATACTGCCTGGAACACAAGGTGATGGTGTTTTGATCTCTTTGGCTGTAGCGACTTTGGTACCATTCTTTCCTAAACCAGCCAGTGCCTGGCATGTGATAGGTGATTTAATAACTGCTTATTCAGTTGAATCAACAAATGGGCGAATCATCTTCCTTTCATTTAGGTACCTGTGGCATGTTCCATTGACATTCATCACCAGCAAATCAGACTCAGCCCATAGATTTTTGCTGAAGACAAAAACAGGTAATTTGTTGGGGAAATTAATGCAAGAAGGAGCTATGGAAATGTGCAGGATTTAGATACCACCTTTCTTTTGCTATTTATCTTGGTTAAAATAAAAAGGATCAGGTCAGCCTTTATCTTCAGCAAATCTCTGGCTTTCATTTTTTAGTGAAGACTATAGGTTTGAAAATACTGTCTGGTTGCAAAAAAAAAAAGAAAAAGAAAAAGCCAGGATCTTGCCAGATAGAGATGAAAACAGTTGAGCTATATAATACTAAAAAGAAGGGATTCCTCATGAAAATCCCCCATTACTTTAACGCTGCTGCGTCATCTCGTACGTATGGCCCGAGACGTGGCTGCGTTCTTCTCATAGATCTATAAATCTCACAAAATCGGTGTCTAAAACTCATGTTGGCTTCTGTCTATGGGGACCCTGTTTTGGGTTTCTAAAAGAAACGTGTTCAGTATGAAACTCGTTTCAGTATTAAAACTGTTCAGTATTAAACTCGCTGTTAGTTTTGTGGTCCAGTCTCTGATCAGAAAAGCTTTCATCTGTCAAGGAGAAAATGGAGCTGTGATTTATGTTATTTGCCCTAGATGTGCTCATCCTCCCAGAAGAGGTGGAATGGATCAAATTTAATGTGGGAATGAACGGCTATTACATTGTGCATTACGAGGATGATGGATGGGATTCTCTGACCAGCCTTTTAAAAGGAACACACACAGCAATCAGTAGTAATGATCGGGCCAGCCTCATTAACAATGCGTTTCAGCTTGTCAGGTAATGCAAGCTCCTCAGAGTCTTGGTTTATTTCTGAAAGCAGCTGCTCGCACTCAAATTCTTGATTTCTAAAGATGAAAATGACTGATTGCTAACGAGAAGTTGAAGGGTGTTTGCCCCTGAGTTCTTCTAACAATCCAAGGTTGCTTTTAGCCTCAGCGTCCACCTCCTGGCTGTGTCTGCTGAGGAAGGTAAAGGAAGGAATCTGAACTTTAATCCTTTTCATGAACAACTAGGATCAGTGCAGGCAAAGTGTAGAAAATCAGGAGACTCCCCCCCCCCCCCCAAGCCCCTTGCCTGGTTTCTAAAGCCCTGTCCTGAGGCTTTCTGGGCCCTGCTGGGTCTTGCACAAGCTCCAAGCCTACTCAGAAGAGTGAGGAGCCCGGGCCCAAGTTGTTCGTGCCCGCAGCTGGATCCCTGAACTTCGCCGCATCTTTATGGAATATGGCTCATAAAATGCCGCCCAACCAAATGACCTTTGAGTTGTTGATAGTGTTTACTCGAACTTTCTGCCCCATGACAGTAGTTTTTAAGGAAATAGTCCGCAAGCCAAAAACATACACTTCTTCAGTATTTACACAGAACAGAGGTCCTAAAGGGAATCACCCAGGTAGAAAGGATCAATTTATAATTCTCCTCATACCCCATGCCCCTCTGCTCTAAATGTCAAGTTCTCCCTCTCCTGGGCCTCTTGAGGAAACAAAAAGCAACAGGGGATCAAAATAGGGGTTGCTTCCCTAGCTGTTTCTGTGTGCCTAAAAATACTCCCCTCTGTAGCCTATTACTGCTTAAATCTTAGAGGGTTTGGGTGAGGGTGAGCACCGACCCTACCACGGAGGCTTTTAGCACCAAGCCTCTATAATGAAAGGTTTACATCTATATTCACTTCCTTTTCGGAATGGAGAAGAGGACGTGTTGACTCCAGAGACTCATGCTGCTGACTGAGCGGCGGTCTCTCCGACTAGGCTTCCTGAAGGGTCTTTGATCAAAATCCCCGTCTTACCCTGGGAGCTCAGCGCACAGGCCCACGCTTGCGGGAGGGACAAGTTAGCCCTGGCTCTGTTGTGACCTGAGAAACTTCCATGTAAACATGCCACATGTTGTGTTGTATGTAATGGGAAAGATACTAATCTACACATCCGAGTTTGTAAGGGGCATTAGTAACCGATTGAGTTTTTGGCTGGAAGATGGTTAAAATACCTTTTGAAACAAAAGTTGATTTGTTGGATTTTCTGTTCAACTGCTAACCGTGGTGTCTCCTGACCAGCATTGGAAAGCTGCCAATTGAAAAAGCCTTGAATTTAACCCTGTACTTGAAACATGAAATGGAAATTATGCCTGTGTCCCAAGGTTTGAGTGAGCTGGTGCCTATGTATAAGTTAATGGAGAAAAGAGATATGAATGAAGTGGAAACTCAGTTCAAGGTAAAAGCCTGAGATAAACTGAATAGTTACATAAGGGTTTTCTTTTATATCGGTGTGGAAGAATTCTTAACTGTTGTGTATATGTATGTCTTGGTATATAGTAAAGAAAAGTAAATAAAATTTAACTCAGTATTTGGATTCACTAGCAAAGAGATTTGTTTTATTTTAATACTAAACATAGACATGGCACTATGAGATTCTATACTTAATTTTCATGGATTTCATATTCCCTTTCTTTTGCAAATCCTTTATTTCATTTTACTTTTGTATTATTATAGTTACTATTAAGACTTTTCTGGGACTCAAATACTTGAAGAAGACAAATTTATTATTTCGGGCAAAATTTCATAAAGGTCTGTTGTATAATTTGCCCTAAAAATGGAGTCATATATGCCCTGGACAGTTTTCTCAGTGGTTAGAGCATTGGCCCGTGGACCAATGAGTCGTGGGTTTGATTCCAGTCAAGGGCATGTACCTTGGTTGCAGTTCGTCCCTGGACCTGGTTGGGTTGTGTGGGAGGCAGCCAGTCGATGTCTCTCTCTCTCTTTCTATCTCTCTCTCTCCCTCCCTCCCACTCTATATGAAGATAAATGGAAAAATATCCTCAGGTGAAGATTAAAAAGAATTAATAAAAAGTGGAGTCATATAAACTCTCTTTGTTTTAAAAGTGGCAGTTTATCCTGATTTTAAGTAGATAAAGATATATTTATAAAAGATTGTTATGCACATACTAAAATAGTTCACCATTTCTTGTTTTTGACCCCTTTTGTGATTAAATATAAACAGAACTGTATGGTTTTAAAAATAAGAGTTGCGTTAAACTTTTAAAACCATCCCCTCTCACCTGAGTGTACTGGATCATATAAAGCATGAGAGAGCCTGGGACAGGACTGCTGACGCTGTGGCTTTCCCGCAGGCCTTTCTCATCAGGCTGCTGAAGGGCCTCATTGACACGCAGAGCTGGACCGACGAGGGCTCCACCTCGGAGCGGATGCTGCGGAGTCAGCTCCTGCTCTTCGCCTGCGTGCGCAGGTACCAGCCCTGCGTGCAGAGGGCCGAGCGCCACTTTCGAGAGTGGAAGGAAGCCAACGGAAACCTGAGGTCTGTCCTTAGCAAACAACCAGTTCATTCGTGTAAGGGCCACCTTTTCAATTTTCCATCATCACTGCTAAGTGTCGGGAGCAAATCCAACTAGAGACAAGTCTTCGCTGCCTCCCATTTTAGGAAAATAAATCACTCTCTAAGATTTATCTCCGTATCCCTCCACTTGAAGTAATGCTAGGAGGGAACTTCTTTGCACTAAAGTCAAATATCTGGAGAGTTAGCAAGGGGCTAGAACAGTTCCCAGTTTGTGCAGCCAAGGATACAACCCTTATCAGAACTGAGACGGCTGCACTGACAGGAGCTGCTTTGGGGCTCCAACGTCCTGGACAAGAGGCGCAGAGTCGTTGCCCACACGAAGTAAAGTAGGATCTCCCTATATTTGGAAATTTAATTCTTGCTATACATAGGGTATATCTGGGGCTTAAATCCCATCTGGGAAATATTAAGCCAATGGTATACATGATTCCACTGAAAGAAATGCTTATAAATGGTGGTCCTATTGGATTTCTGATGCTTGTGCATGGATTACATCTTTTTATTGTGTCTTGAAAAGTGGCCACCCAGCATCATTAAAGTATGTTAGATACATAGGTATTTATAAAAGTGGCTTTTCACATTACATTTTTTTAGAAGGCTACTCACACCGATTTTAGATATTTTCTCTTGCCTCTTTCAAAAAAAGGTAACTGAAGGAAAGGTTATTTTTGTTTGGGTTTCCAGGCCTGCTTCTCTGATCATGGGGCCAGTTTATCAGTTCAGAACTGGTCACCATTCTGCATCCAAACACAGTTCCTGTATCTCTGACTCTCACCGGTGTGTTCTTTCCTACAGGCTGCCCAGCGATGTGACCTTGGCAGTGTTTGCTGTGGGGGCCCAGACCACTGAAGGATGGGATTTTCTTTACAATAAGTATCAGTCTTCTCTGTCGGGCACTGAGAAATATCAAATTGAATTTGCCCTCTGTGTTAGCCAAAATAAGGAAAAGCTTCAGTGGTGAGTAATTCATTCATGCTCATGTCTGAACAAAGGGAATTAAGTTAGAGCAGATCCTTCTGTTTTTGTTCATTTGGCCAGGAACTGCGTATTCTGCTGGGAACATGTATGCTAGTGGCCCACAAATAACAAGTATGGTAAATAATTAGGGGGAAGCAGATGTTAGGAAAAATATTTAAAGGAACATATATTTGTGTGTCTTTAAAATAACAAATTTAGAAATCTATACTTTCTTAGCTCCTCTTTTGAGCAAATGAGGGAATATGTGAGAATTTGTGTTGTAAATACTGTGAGTTCGTTTTATTATTACATAGCTATAGTGACTTTATCAGGCTTCTGGTTACCGATTCATCTTTTAGGTCTTTGTTATTGGCCTTTTTCTTTCACAAATTATATTATAGAAAAACTTTCTCATGTGTAACTTCTTCAGGGCTTATTCATTGCTAACATCTCTTCTCTTAATCATTCTAGGTTACTAGAACAAAGTTTTAAGGGGGAAGGAATAAAAACACAAGAGTTTCCAGGTATTCTTACAAGTATTGGCAGAAACCCAGTGGGATATCCATTGGCCTGGCAGTTTCTAAGGGAAAATTGGAATAAACTCATACAAAAGTAAGTAGTGCCAAAGATTGTGCTGTGACTGGAAAAGTTCCTTCACCTCGCTATGTTTTTGCTTTGTTGGTAAAACAACAGTGATCATCTAAAGGGGGGTTTGACTGAAACTAGAAAGTAGAGGTCCATAGAATATCTTTAGAAACTATAAAATTCTAACTCATTGCTAGCTAATGAATCTGGATAGACAGTCTGCGTTCCATCTGGAATAATCCCTTCCTGCACCCACTGGCCTATTAGAAGTCTCCTGCTCAGCGCTTGGCCGGTTTGCACCTGCCCTTGTCGAACGCGTGGAGCATCACTGCCTCTATCATTTTCTCTTGGGTACTCCACCTTTTAAAAATTCAGCAGTTGGCATCTATATTTTGCAACTAGATCTTAACCCATCGGAGGGTAGAGATCATGCCCGTTTTTCATGCTTAATCAGTTTTCAGTTAAATGCTATAATACATGAGGCACTTAAAAATATATGTTGAAAGAATACATATTTCAAAATATAACTTGAAAGTTTCCATTTCTAGGTTTGCGCTTGGCTCATCTTCCATAGCCCACATGGTAGTGGGGACAACAAATCAGTTCTCTACAAGAGCGCGGCTTGAAGAGGTAAAAAAAAATCTTTTTAAGCTCACGTGACACTAGCTAATAAATTGTGGGGTAGACAATATTTTAAAGGTGTGAGGAGTTAGACATAGATTTTGTCACTTGTTATATGTTCTTTTTGGATGCTGTGGCATCTTTAACATGAGCAAAAATCAGTTACAAGTGAACTAGTGAAAACTATGCCTCTTCACATTAAGAAGCCTTAACTTGCCATTACACATTTTAGAGCTTAAAAATTACTTTAGACACTTAATCCCTGTTTTCAGATGTTAAAAGTGATCATCTGAAGTATAATTAACTGAGGTGATCATCTAGTTATTGCGAAAGAGGTAGGTCTGGAATCTGGGTTCTCCACTGTCTAAGTTCATGATTTCCTGTTGCTTATTCATATGCCATCTGCCTTCAGAAAGAATTTTAGGCAATTTATAAGGTCCAGGTATAAAAGAAGTGTTAAAATAAAGAACAAAAAGTTGCATGATGAACAGAGAGTGGTAACTGTCTGAAGGATTTATGCTGAGGACAATTTATTGCAATTGAATCCTAAATTTATCACAGCTTCCTAGCAGTCAAGGAAAAATAAGAAAACAGTATGAGTTATTCTCATTGTGTGGTAAGAAGGAACCAGAGTTTTCCACCAAAGCATCCTTTTCTTCCAGTCTAAACTCTGAGGCATATGGTATCTGGGTTGTTTGTGGTGTCCCTTCTATGGTAATGTTTTCTATAGTAAAGTCACAGAACAAATTTTACATGGTTTTAAAACTATGTTGTGTTTAGATAAAATCTGAGAGCCAAATATTAATTTTTTAAAGGATAGCTTCATGTATGGTTTGGTTACACCATGATCTAGCTCACTATAGGAAGAGTACCTTGAAAATGCAAAAGAAGTGTCATGCCCCTTAGCTTTTGTCCAGTTTCATCAGCCTCACCCAGGCTTGTAAAATAACTTGCACATAATATCTCAAGCTTGAACTCCAGTGAGGTCTACAGCAGAGGTATTCTGTGTGATGAGCTGTCCATATGCTGTGGCTAGCTAGCTAGCTGTCCATAGACCAAACATTTCATTCAGTGAACTTATTTATTTATTGGTTTTCTCATTAATTTATTCAAGATATTCTATTCTTATTATATAGCAGGCTTGGCTTTAGGCTCTGGGGTATGATGATGAACAGAATAGACAAAGCTCCTGCTCTCATGGAGCTTAAATTCGACTGGGGGGATCAGACAATTACAGACAACTTTTGTCAGGTTGAAGACTGAATAAAGTAAGGTAAGGCTAGAGAGTGACGGGGGGAGGGAGTGGTGCTATGTTTCATAGGATGATTAGGAGACATTTGAGTGGATATTGAAGGAAATATGCAGGTATGTAAGAGGAGAGTGTGTGTGCATAGGAAACATCAGGTACAAAAACTGAGGTAGGACATGGAAATGAAGCCTGAGATATTGTCATAATAGAGAGCATCCCTCTGACATTTAAAACACAGGAGTCATCCTGAGCCCTTCCTTCCCCTCACATCTAATTCATCCCGAGGCTTGTCAGCCCTTCTCTTGCATATGCACCATAGTGATGAGCTTCCAACTTCCCCTTACCCCATCCAAGCTTTTCTTATTTTTCTGCCTGGTCTTTGGTGATAACCTTCTAACTGGCCTCCCTTCTGCCACTTTGTCACTAATCAAATCATTTTCCACATTTAAAACTGAAGATCAGCCCATCACTGAGCCCCTTCTTGAAACCCAGTCTATTGTTTCTGCAATAAATCCCAAACCTGTCCTTCCTGTGTGCACAGACTGTGGTGACCTGGCTCCTGCCCGCCTCTCAGCCGTTTCTCACTTGCTGCCCTGTTCACTGTCTCCCAACACTCAGCCACTCAGCCTTCTCCGGCTTCTGGGCCACCAGCTGTTTCTCTGACCTCTAATGCTCTGCACTTTCTTCTCTGCCTGGCTTTCTCTTTGGGCAACTTTTTGCTGGAAAGGTTCATTTTATCCTTGAGAGGCTCTAGCTCAAGGGTCATCTTCCCACACCACTCTGTACAGCAGGCCACCCCCTCCCCAGGTACTATCATAGCCCTTGTTTATTTTCACAGCAGTAATTTATAGTAATCATAGTTTGCTGCTTGTCTTCCCAGACAGACTGTAAGCTCCATGAGAGTAGCGTGCAGGTTTGATGCACTGCTTCATCCTCAGCTCTCACACAGCAAGGGATGAATAAGTACCACTCTACATTTCATGAATAAATGATGAGGTTGAGTCCGATACATGCTGCGTTTTGGATTCTGCACCCTACCCATGTTATATAATTACATCCTCGCCTCCCCTCTGCAATGTAGAGATGACCCTCATTTCACGAACGAGGAGTATGTCCCAGAGAAGTTAAATTATTTGCTCAACGTCAAACAAGTTAGTAGGATAAACCTGTTTCTCCATTCCTATATCATGCTGCTTGATGCGCAGAAAATGTTCTCAAGGAGGCAGGTCTGGATCAAATACTCAGCTGATGTGCTGCACTTCCCAAGGCGGATCATATAGGAGAGAGACTTCGGGGTCAGGAAGAATTTAAGGGCAAGTCTTAACAACTGGTTTTGTTACAAATCTTGTTAAGTCTGTTTTTTAATGGTACTATCATGATGGGCTCCTTCAGGATTAGACAGTTTGACCAACTGGTATAGTTATTGATGTGGCTGTTGAGGAGAGCCCAGAGGGAGGGATTTTTAATTGACTGTCTATGAATCTTGAGTTCTGAGAGGATGAAAGAAGGTTGAGCTGCAACCTGGGACGGGGCGGAGAAGCACAGTGAGCGTTTTCTAAGTTGCTGCGGCGGGAGGGCCTGCCTCTGAGCTCATTGAAAAGTTGCACTGAGATATAATTCTAAAACAACCTTGCATCATTTAAAATTGGAATTTGATCTTTCAGAAACCTATTCTAACCCCCCGCTTATTTTCAAGCTCATGATATTATGGCATGGATTTTTTAAAGGAATCAACTGTCTGGAATCCATGCTGAACAAACAACACATCTTGGCCTAGACTTGCTTTCTGTCTACAAAATCAAAAAGTGATGGATTAATGCTGTGAAAATTTATGGGAAAAGGTTGCAGACCCTTTAAGGTGAAACAGAGTAGCACAGTGATCAGTGATATGGCAAAGCCAGCCTATTCCTCACGTGAGCTTAAAGGGGTTAAGATACCCAGCGATGGAACAACAAACATATTTTTAAGGAGATAGCCAAGAGTTTCTTATCTCTCTAAAACCTCTGGGAAGTTTGTGCGGATTTTATCTTGAGCGAACAATACCTGAATTGTGGATTAGGATGACAAAATCTTGGCAGAGTTTGGGGTATTACCACCATAAGTTGCTAAGAACCCCATTCCCCACAGTGTTTCTGTAACAACACACAAGGCCAGGTCCATGGAGAAAGACTACACTTATGTGGTTGAAACTGTTTTGCTTGGCAAAGAAGATACTCCACACACTCTGCTTTTCAGATATCATGCTTAAAAAAATTAAGTTCGCATCTGTGTGTATATAACAGAATGCACATTAAATAGACACACTCAATTAAACCTTAATTATAAAGTGGTAAACAGTGAAGTCTTTTAGAATCTGGCAACTGTGAATAAATGAAAAAATGGCAGAGAAAAACACAAAACTTGACATCATGAGGCATGAGCTCATTTCATATAGCTTAAGTTTGTGTACATAATCGTATCCAGACACCTGGCGCTGCCTTCCATATAGAATTTTGACAAATGCTGGAATTTTGGCTTCAGCTTTCTTTCAACTAGCCTGGGTTTATATTTGTATAATGCAATAAAGCACAAATTTAAAAAACCACTTTTCCCTCCCAAGGTGAAAGGATTCTTCAGCTCTTTGAAAGAAAACGGTTCTCAGCTCCGTTGTGTCCAACAAACAATTGAAACCATCGAGGAAAACATACGCTGGATGGACAAGAATTTCGACAGAATCAGAGTGTGGCTCCAAAACGAACACCTTGAACTGCTGTAATGATTTGTTCTTTGTTGGTTCCCGTGATCTGTAATCACCAAAATTTTGTTGACTATGAGTATTTTCAAACTAGAGATGGCTGTTTTGGCTCCCACTGAAGATGGACCTTTTCCTTCGACTTCTTTCTCATTTGACCAGCCCTGTGAAAAGCCCAGCTGTTCATTTTCTCATCAATGGGTCATGTCTGTCATGTGTTTCATTTATGGGTATTGCCTGCAATGGAGACCCAAGGGGTGGGTTCCCCAACTACCGAGGAGTAAAGCACCTTATTCTTCTTATTTTATACGTAAGCCCCCAGTCTCCAAACCCCTCACGAGCTGTTTTGTTAGCCTCCAGACAACACTGAACAGTGGGAACTGCTGACCACGACCACCTGAATCCTCGACTAAGCCAGGATGAGTCTGGTCGGCTTCCCGCCTTCTCTTCCTCGCCGCCCGCGTGTCGGGCTGGGCATCAGGCGTCCATGCTCTCTAGCTTGTGGTCAGCCTCCCAGCAGGGCAGATTGGAGCTGGGGTGGGAAAGAGGAGGCGGGGTGTTTATTCCCCTCTTTCCCTTGCAGGTCGACTTAGGCTGGGCCCCATTGAAGGTCTCCAGTCTGGAGGGGCGGACCCCTTTCCCACTCAGCTCTCCCCATCTCTGCATTCTAGTGCCTGCTTCCTCTCTCACCCCTTCAGGACGGGGGGCAAAGTGGCAGCCGGGCTTTTACTAGTCCTGGCTCTACTTGTGGTTCCCATACCTCCCTGCACTTGCCTTTGCTTCAAAATAAAACAAGGAAGAACACCTCATATGGAACCCTGCTCAGATAGTCCTAATTTGAATGTCATCTATTTCCTCAGGGACCCTGACTGATACAGTGGCCCTTCTGAAACAGCAGAGTATGTTCAGGTCTAGAGAGAAACCCTCTCATCTGAAGTTGTACCTGAGAGCTGTTGATCCTTAGGTAGGCGGGGCTTCCTCTCTCTGCTCGTTATTTGGCCTAGTTTATAATTCTTGACTAACTCATTATTGTCACTTATTGCCAATAAGTCACTCACTTATTGCCAATAAGTCATGGCATAGTCTCCCGTGAAGGACAACGTATTGTGAAACTGAAAATATTTATTTACATTACTCTGAGAAGTCTTTTATGAGGTTTCTAATACACTTAGAATTTTTATGATAAAAGAGTATGATACGAAAAGTCAGTGTGTTCTGATACAGTAGGAATAGTGAGTTTTCTGGACAAATGCATTTACGATTCCGTTTTTACACATATTGCATGCTGTAGTGGTTTGAGAAATAAAAACAGAAAACGCAATCACTGGTAATTTCCACCCCCTGTATTTTCCTTCTAAAAAACACACAGCCAAGATTTGAATGTAAAATATTTTTCTTTAATTGTATTTTACATCTTGATTAATGAAACATGGAAATAGTGATCTTCAGTTGGGTCACCTGAGGAACCTACTTTCGTTGGCTTTTGGAGAAGTGCCTTTCCAAACAGACACAGTATTGCCACAACAATGTGCAAAACCTTTTTGGTAATAAAAAGTTGTTATTTACCTCTAAGCATATATTTGCAAGTATTTCTTCCTAATTAGGTGGGTAAACAAGGATTGCTTTAGATCTGGAAGCTTACTCAAGTCATCATCAATTAATATCAAACACCCAAGTCTTGAGAACATTTCTGATTAACAAAAAGGCATATTCAGAGTACCTTAAGTAAATGTTTACTTTTATAGGCATTTCTTAAATCTCTGGATTTTGGTATGTCATTTAAAAATAGCATATATGCATAGAAGTTAGTAATACTGCAGCCATATTCTTGCAAACACATCTGTCAATGTCCAAGGTCCTACCTTTTTTAACAAACAAAAAACCCCCCTTTATACTACCCCAATGGAAGAATTAGATACAGAGTTAAAATCCCTCAGGAAACGTGTGTTTTATTTTCTCGTCAGTGCCTTGAAAAGGTCTGTTTAGTCACCATAACACTGGCTTATATTTCCCAGACTTAGAATAATAAAAAAAAAATGCCCGTGTCTCTGATCATATAGACATAGCATTTAAAGTGGGTGAAGTTTGAAATCTCATAGGTACATGCATGTTTTTTAAAGAGAATTTGTAGAACATATTAACAAAATTTGATGCCCATTATAATCAGTGTTATTTTTGTCTCTCCCCCCACCTTAGACAATACTGGTGATATTATATTTAGTGAAGTCAGTTAAGTCCTAATAAATGAAACCTCCAAACAGATGCTAAGGAAGGCTGTGCTCTTTCAAACAAGAAATTCCAGAGCAGTTTATGATATGTACCTGATATCTTCCTACATTTACTACCGGGAAGTAATGATGAAATTAAATATTTATCAAAATCTCATCAGTGTTACGTCCATAAACAATTCATTCAGAAAGATCTGAGAAACCATTCAAAGTTGTAAGACAGTAGAGCCTAGTTCTTAAATTGTTGTGAGGGGGTGAGAAGCACATTTTTAAATTCCAGATATTTTTTAAGCAGAAGTTCGGTTTTGTATTCGGTAGACCTAACTTCCATAAAGCCGGGTGCTGCGCAGGGCAAAGACTAGTGTCGCAGTGGTCTAAGCAAACAGTTGCTGCTCGGGTTTTATACTGAGGGAACGGAAGGCACAGCTTAACACAGGAAACTAGCAAATTCAAGCCACGTGAATATTCGAAGTAGACGATTTTATTCTTGGAAGTTGTTATGCGGGACATAGAGCCTGTATCTTGCTCTTTTGACTTGATTCAAGTCTCAGTATGTTTTGAGCTGGCTATAAGGTGCAGAAGTCCTAACCTTTGGCAAAGAAGAGTTTAACCTATAAATGCAGTGCTTCATGGTCTGTCCAGGTTACCTATTAATTTATTATTAGCAGCCCAAGAGGAGATAAGTGCCCAATGTACAAATTTTATGTTGGACTTATAAACTTTAACCCAAAGAATCATCAAATACAAGTTCAAAAGCCCAAGAGGAAAGGGGAAATGAGAAATCAGAGCATTGAAGAATGTTGAAAGCATTGATTTCCAAATGCTAACAACAACAACAAAAATTAAGTGAAACCGAAAATACTAATGAGATTTACAGGCACTGTGTGTAGTATGTGCAAAAGTTTGCAAAAGTTTTTCCTTGGTGTGTGCGTGTGTGTGTGTGTGTGAGTGTGGCTTTAACAAACTATCAAATATATCTCTTAGAAATATAAAGCTCCTTTCTCTCCCAACTGAAGGCAATTTTTAAAAATTAAAAGTTTATCAATACTCAGTACAATAGCACAGGTGAACCAGACAAATTCAGTTTCTTTCCGGGAAAAGAATAACAAACCAATATTTAGGATGTCAAACACTCAACAAATACCACTGTCCAGAAGCCACCCAGAAAAATTTGTTGTCCAAGCCTTTTGTTCTTCAGAAGTCACCAGCCACCAGCTGAAGATTTTATATGTAGACACCTTGAAAAATTCAAAGGAAAAAAATTCAGTGTACCACTTTGGTATGTAATTTTTTTTTTTTTTTTACAAGGCATAGTAAATGTAACATTTAGCAAAAGCACTGTATAACAAACAAGAAGTAAACATGAGAGTAGATTATTAATATAATTTTTTTTTTAATTTTGGGGGGAATCTTCAGAGCAGATCTTATCAGCATACCTCCCTCTGTATAGGAACTAAAAATTGGACCATGGTGAGAGAGCCTAACCCAATTTAACCTACATTCTTATTTCCTTTAGGCTTTGGTTGACAAGCAGTTACAAGCTTTCATGGCTTAGAATACGATCTCTTCTTTCTAAAGTTATTAAGGGTCCGGCTCTCAAGATAGATCTCAGAGGTTCCTGAATCAAACATAGCATTTTACTTAAACTAATATGTGCAAAAGTGGTCAATCTTTTCCTTTGCCCTTGGTTCCAAAAACCCTCTAATTTCCATGAGACCCTAAGGGGTACTTTTCCCCACCCATCATATACTGGTATCAATAACGTAAAAGCATTGCACTATAAGAGGTAAACATGGCCCTGGATGGCTTGGCTGAGCAGTTTGAGCGTCAGCCCACTGACCAGAGTCGTAGGTTCAATTCTGGTCAAGGGCATGTACCTCGGTTGTGGTTCATCCCCAACCCTGGTCAGGGTCGTGTGGGAAGCAACCAGTCGATGTGCTGATATTTCTCTCTCTCTCCCTCTATTTCTCCCTCCCTCCTACTCTATCTGAAGATAAACAGAAAAATATCCTCAGGTAAGGATTTAAAAAAAAGGTAAACACACTAATTTTGCTTTGCCATAGTAATGAGCATTTGGGTTTCAAAGAGTCAACTAGACTTAGATGGTCATTTTCTTTAAGAGCCTGGACTAATATTTTAAAGAGCTCTTATTATAAGATTGTGCTGTTGGAATATTAAAAAATAATCATCACATTTGGTGCTTTTCAAAAAATTATAGATTTTGCAATGTGCATTTCATGCCAATACTATAAAGAGAACATGACATAAGAAGTAGAGTTAGTTTCTCTTGCCTATAACACATAGATTGGTAGAAGATATAGTTGCCTTCATTTACAACAAACACCCATCTTACCAAATAGTGTGCACTTTAACTTGTATTTTTTTCATTAGCTTTTGGCTTGGAAGTTGTCTCCTTTGCCTGAAAGGGAAAGCAAAACCATCAATGAGCTCTTTCTTTTCTGGATTAAGTATAAAAATGATTAACCAGAAGATTCTTATGAGGAGATGGGTTTCTCAGAATTAAAGGGGGCAAAGATGGTAGTCGAAGAAAATAAGATGGCTTTTTTAAATTATCTTTTTTCTTTATCCAAAACACTATGAATTCTTCCACTTCAAGTTTATAAGCTAAAAAGAACCTTAGTGATTCTACATTTCTTACTCTAGACTTTTTTTTTTTTTTTTTTAAGACCAAGGTAATTGAAGAAAAAATATATATAGGTGTTCTTGGATGGTATTGTTCATTCATTCTATGATGATCCCTTTCTCAGCAATGGGCAGTTGCTGGCCAGCTAATCCACTAAGCATATAGGGTTATTATGCTTTCTACTTTTTGAGAAAGGGTTGACCATATACTTTGTACAACTGAAGTTAATAAGCAAATTAATCTATTTGAGATAATGCGTGAACAACTTTCAGATTTCACATGTGAGATCATATGTTATTTGCCTTTCTGACTTATTTCACTTAACTTAATGCCTTCATGGTCCACCCATGTTGTCACAAATGGCAAGATTTTATTTTTTTATGGCTGAATAACATTCCATTGTGTGTGTGTGTGCACACATCACAGTTTTAAAAATTCATTCATCTATAGATGGACACTTAGGTTGTTTCATATCTTGGCTCTTATAAATAATGCCTCAGTGAACTTGGGGGTGCACATATCTTTCTGATTTAGTGTTTTCATTTCCTTTGGCTACTCAGAAGTTGAATTGCTGGACTATATGGTAATTCTCTTACTAGTTTTCGAAAGTGGCTGTCCCAATTTACATTCCTACCAACACTGTACAAGGATTCCCTTTCTCCACAACCTGGCCAACAGTTGTTATTTCTTGTCTTTTTAATAGCCATTCTAACAGGTCTAAGGTGGTATCTCACTGTGGTTTTGATTTGCATTTCACGTGTGGCTAGTGAAGTTGAACATCTTTTCTTGTACCTGTTGGCCATCTGTATGTCTTCTTGGAAAAGTGTATGCTCAGGTCCTCTGCCCATTTTTGTTGTTGTTGTTAAATTGCTTGAGTTCTTTAAGTATTTTCAATACTAGACTCTTATTGGAAGTATAATTTGCAAATATCTTCTCCCACTTGATGGTTGCTTTTGCTAAAGAGACCTTTGGCTCCCCACTGGGTGTTTTGGGCTCTCTTCTAGAATATTAGTTGACCATATAATCAGGGGTTTATTTCTGAGCTGTTGATTCTGTTCCATTGGTCTATGTGTCTTATTTTAATGTCAGTACCATATTGTTTTGATTGCAATAGCTTTGTAGTATAGGTTGAAATTAGAAAGTGTGATGCCTCCAGCTTTGTTCTTCTCAGAATTGCTTTGGCTATTCAGGATCTTTTGTGATTCCATACAAATTTTAAGATTGATCTATTTCTGTAAAAAATGCCATTGGAATTTTTATAGGAATTGCATTGATAGGCTTTGGGTGGTATTGCATTGATAGGTTTTCAGTGGTATTTTAATAATGTTAATTCTCCTGATTCATGAACATGGGATGTCTCCCTATTGGTTTATGTTGTCTTTGATATATTTCAGCAGTCACATTAGTTTTTGGTCTATACATCTTTAAATCTATAAATCTTTCACTTTCTTGGTTAAATTTATTCCTAAGTGTTTTATTACTTTTGATGCTATTGTGAATGGAATATTTTCTTTTTCAGATGTCCATTAGTGTAAAGGAATGCCAGTGATTTCTGTATGCTGATTTTTTTTTTTATCCTGAAAATTTACAGAAGCTGTTAATTAGTTCCAATATTTTTTTGGTTGACTCTTTGGAATTTTTTATATACAAAACTGTATCAGCAAATACCAACAATTTTACTTTTTCCTTTCCAATTTGGATGTCTTGCATTTCTTTGTCTTGCCTATTTGATCTAACTAGGACATCCAGTACTATATTAAATAGGATTATTGAGAGTGGGCATCCTTTTCTTGTTTCTGATCTTATAGGGAAAGCTTTACATTTTTTTCCATTGAGGGTAATGTTTGCTCTGGGTTTGTTGTATATGGCTTTTAATATGTTGAAGTATGTTCCTTCTATACCCTATATTTTAAGGGTTTTTATCATGAAAGGATATTGTGTTTTGTCAAATGCTTTTTCTGCATCTATTGAGATGATCATGTGATTTTTATCTTTCATTTCATTTGTGTGATATATTACATTTATTGACTTGCTTATGTTGAACTCTCCTTGCATCCCAGGGATAAGTCCCAAATGGTCCTGGTGTATAATTCTTTTAATGTGTTCTTGAATTCAGTTTGCAGATAATTTTTTGAGAATTTTTGCATCTATATTCATCAAGGATATTAGTATTAGTCTATAGTTTTCTTGTGGTTTCCTTAGCTAGTTTTGGTATCAAGATACTGCTGGGTTCCTAGAATAACTTCTGAAGTGCTTCCTCCTCCCTGATATTTTGGAAGCATTAAAGGAAGCTTAGTGCTAATTCTTCTTCAAATATTTGATAGAGTTCGGCAGTGAAGCCATCTTGTCCTGGGTGTGTGTGTTAGGAATTTTTTTGATTAGTGGTTCAATCTCTTTACTCTTAATTGGTCTGTTCAGATTTTCTATTTCATCCTGATTCAGTCTTGGTAGGTTGTGTGTTTTTAAAAATATATCCATTTCTTCTAGGTTATGTAATTTTGGGGCATATAATTGTTCATAGTGATTTCTTATGTTCCTATATATTTCTGTAGTACCAGTTATAATGTCTGCGCTTTCATTTCTGATATTGTTTGAGTCTTCTCTGCTTTCCTAGTAAGTCTAGATAAAGGTTTGTAATTTTTTTCTTTTTGAATATACGGCTCTTTAGTTTGTTGATCCTTTCTATTGTTTGTCTGCTCTGTATTTTATTTTCACTCTGATTTTTTATTACTTTCTTTGTCCTTCTAACCTTGGACTTAATTTGTTCTTCTTCTAGTTCCTCAAGGTATAGACTTAAGTTGTTTTCTGGGACCTTCCTCAATTCTTAATACATTAATTTATTGCTATAAACTTTCCTATCAGGCCCTGGCCGGTTTGGCTCAGCGGTTGGAGCGTCGGCCTGCGGTCCAGAGAGACCCGGGTTCGGTTCCCGCTAAGGGCACGTACCTCGGTTGCAGTTTGTCCCCGGCTCTGGTTGGGTCGTGCGGGTGGCAGCCACTCGATGTGTCCCTTTCACATCGATGTTTTTCTCTCTCTTCCTCTCTCTCCCTCCCACTCTATCTGAACAAAAAATGGAAAAAATGTCCTCGGGTGAGGATAAAAAACAAACAAACAAACAATAAACTTTCCTATCAGAACTATTTTTGCTGCATCTCACAAGATTTGGTATATTTCCATATTCACTGGTTTTGAGATAATTTACTTCCCTTTTAATTTCTTCTTTGACCCATTGGTTGTTCAGAGTGTTGTTTAGTTTCCACATATTTGTTGATCTCACTTTCTTCTTGTTGTTCATTTCTAATGTCATACCATGGCAGTCCGCAAAGATAGTTGGTATTATTTTAGTTTTCTTAAACTTGCTAGTATTTTGTTTTGTGTTCTGTCATGATCTATGTTGGAGAATGTTCCATATATACTTGAGAAGAATGTGTATTCTACTGCTGGACAGAATGTTCTTTGTATGTCTGTTAAGTGAATTTGTGCTAAAGTATGGCTCAATTCCAACATTTCCTTGTTGACTTTGTCTGGTTAATCTATCTATTACTGATAATGTGATACTGAAGTCCTCTACTATTGTTGTTTATTGTCTATTTGTCCCCTAAGATTTATTAATATTTGCATAACTTATTTTGATGCTTGGGTGTTGGGAGCATATATATTTACATTTGTTATATCTTCTTGATGTACTGACTGCTTTATCATTATATAATTACTTTCTTTGTCTCTTGTAACCATTTTTGGCTGGCTATTTGTCTGATATAAGTATGGCTACACCCACTTTCTTTCAGTTTTTGCTTGCTTGGAATATTATCTTCCATCCCTTCACTTCGAACCTCTTTGTGTCTTTAGAATTGAAATGAGCCTCCTGTAGGCAGCATATAGTTGGGTCTTGTTTTGTTGTTGTTGTTGTTTTAATTCTTTCACTTATTCTGTGCCTTTTGATTGGTGAATTCAATCCATTTACATTAAGGATGATTAGTAAGGACTTACTACTGTCATTTTATCTTTTGTCTTCTGGTTATTTTGCACCTCCATTGTTTCTTTTTCCTTCTGTTTCTGTCTACCTTATTAAGATGATGGTTGTCCATGGTGATTTGTTCATTCATCCCCAACCCCTACCATTTTTTTGTTTTGTGTGTCTGCTCTAGATTTTTGTTTTGTGGTTACCATGTGATTTACAAAAAAATAAAACAAAAACTCACAATGCCTTCAAGTAAGTGTGTGTGTGTGTGTGTGTGTGTGTGTGTGTGGTGGTCGTGGTGGTGGTGGTGGCCAGAGTCGTATTACTGACAGAATAATGACACCAAATGAAACTGTGTTATAGTCAACTCTGCCTTGATAATTATTGTAAACACTTTGTTCATTTTTTCTTTTTCATTTATAAACAACATCTATTGGGTAATTATAAAATTATTTTTATTTATTTATTTATTTATTTATTTATTTATTTATTTATTTTTTATCCTCACCCGAGGACATTTTTTGTTCAGGTAGAGTGGGAGGGAGAGAGAGGAAGAGAGAGAGAGAGAAACATCGATGTGAAAGGGACACATCGAGTGGCTGCCACCCACACGACCAACCAGGGCCGGGGACAAACTGCAACCAAGGTACATGCCCTTAGCGGGAACCGAACCCGGGTCTCTCGGGACCACAGGCTGATGCTCTAACCGCTGAGCCAAACCGGCCAGGGCTATAAAATTATTTTTAAATTGAAAACACAATAGTCCTTTTTCTGCTGATAGCAACTTATCTTTATTCACCTATAAAAGTTCCATGTTTTTACTCTTCCCCTTTTATGTTTTTAACATGCTATTATTTTATGCTGTGAATTTGTTACAAATTGTAGTAGCTGTAGTTATTTTTAATGCTTCTTCCCTTTAACCTTTACGCTATAATTAACACACCTCTTCTAATTCTGAATGACACCATAATAAAAACTTTGTGTACTTTTCTCTTTGCTTTTCGGATTGAACTCCTTTCAGCATTTCTTGAAAGGCAGTTCTAGTGGTGGTGAACTCCCTCAGCTTTTGTCTGTCTGGAAAACCCTTTAATTCTCCACATCTGAAGGATAACTGTGCCAGGATGAGTATTCTTAGTTGGCAATTTTCATCTTTCAATGTTTTGAATATGTCATTCCACTCTCTCCTGGCCGGTAGAGTTTCTGCTGCGAAATCTGCTGATAGCTTAATGGGGATTCCTTTGCAGGTTACTTTCTTCTGATCCCTGCTATCTTTAAAATTCTTTATCATTGACGTTTGACAGTTTAATTATAATATATTTTGGAGAAGGTCTTCTTTCACTGAGATGATAAGGTGTTCTCTTAATTTTGTGGACTTTTATGTTTAGTTCCTTCCCCAGGTTTGGGAAGTCTCAGCTTTTATTTCTTTAAGTAAACTCTCTGCCCTCTTCTCCTTCTGGTATATTCATTATTCTTACATTAGTTTTTATAATAGAGTCTGATGGTTCTCAGTTTCCTCACTTTTATTTATTTATTTTTGGTATGTGTCCCTAGCAGGAACCGAACCCTGGACTCTCTGGTCCACAGGCCAATGCGCCAACTGCTGAGCCAAACCAGCCGGGGCAGTTTCCTCACTTTTAAAAAGTCTTAGTTCTCTCTCCTTTTCCACCAGAATCATTTCTAGATTCCTGTCCTCCAGACTGTTTAATATTTCTTCAATCTTATCTGCTACATTTCCAATGCGTTTTAAATGCACTCTGCATCTCGTTTATTTTTTTTAAATCTTTATTGTTGAGAGTATTACAGATGTCCCCCTTTTTTCTCTCCTTACCCCCCCCAATCCAGTTCCCTCCCTGTCCCAGGCCTTCACCACCCGATTGTCTGTGTCCATGGGCAGGGCATATAAGTTTTTTGGTTAATCTCTTTCTGCCCCTTTTCCCTTTGAGATTTGTCAGTCTGTTTCATGTTTCCATGCCTCTGGTTCTCTTTTATTCATGAGTTTATTTTTTTCATTAGATTCCACATGTAAGTGAGATCATATGATATTTGTCTTTCTCTCACTTGTTTATTTTGCTTACCATAATCATCTCTAGGTCCCTCCATGTCATCTCAGAGGATGTGAGATCTTTCTTTCTTATAGCTGCATAGTACTCCATTGTGTATATGTACCACAGCTTTTTTATCCACTCATCTACTGATGGGCACTTGGGCTGTTTTCAGATCTTAGCTATTGTAAATAACACTGCTATGAACATGGGCTGCATATATTCTTTCTGGTGGTGTTTTGGGATTCTTACGATATATTCCTAGAAGTGGATCACTGGGTCAAATGGCAGTTCCATTTTTAATTCTTTGAGGAAACTCCACACTGTTTTCCATATTGGCTGCATCAGTCTGCATTCCCACCAGCAGTGTAGTTGGGTTCCTTTTTCTCCACATTCTTGCCAGTATTTGTTTGTTGATTTGATGGTAGCCATTCTAGCAGGTGTGAGATGATACCTCATTGTCATTTTAATTTGCATTTCTCTGATGATTAGTAATGAGCATTTTTTTTTTATACACATCTCATTTATTGAATTCTTCAGCTCCAGAATTTGCTTGGTTCTTTTTTATAATTTTCATCTCTTTGATAAAGTACTCCTTCTATTCATTAATTTAATTCCTGAGTTAATTGACTTGAGTTTTCTTATAGGTTGTTGAATTTCTTCATAACAGCTATTTTGAATTCTTTATCAGTTAGATAGTAATATTCCACATGTCTTTGACTTTGGTTGCTGCAAAATTGTGTTTTTCTTTTTGTGATACCATATTACTATGACTTTCATAGTGTTTGATGAAATGTGCCTCTGCCCTCGCATTTGAAGTAACAAGCGCCTTTCTCAGTTAGGTAAGGCTTTGCTTACTTTGATTCTGCTTAACACACTGGCAATTAAAATACGTTTACTCTTCCAGACGTTGGCAGTATAGCACACGTTTTTGGTTTCTCTTACTGAAGCTGATTTGCTGCTAAAGTTGGGAGTGTGCCTGTAAAAACAAGCTGCCTTGAAAAGAAATAAAAAGGCTGGTGGCAGTGTGAGGAGAGAGGTGTGCTTAGCACATGGGGCTTTGGGTGTGCCCGTGCCTGGTAGGGGTTCTCAAGTTGGAGAGTCCTGGAAGTCTGCTGGCAGACTCCTTGCTGGAATCCCCAGGCGGAAATGAGTTATCCTTGGTTCTGTCTCTCCTCCCCTTTCCCTTCCTTCCCTTCCCCATAAATTCCTTAAGCTATCTTCATTTTCTTTTTGCTCCTCTGAGCTCCTCTGCCACTTTCTGATCCTCTCTTCTTCACCTAGTCTATTGGAGGCTCATGGAGTCTGATGAGCATCTTTCTAAACAGTATTTTGAACTCTTTACAGGTAAATCACTTATCTCCACTTGACTAAGAACTTTTTTGTGGTTTTATCTTTTTTGTTTGAAACATGTTCCTCTTTTTTCATTTTCCTGATACTTTGCGTTGGTTTCTATACTTTAGATAGAACAGCCACCCCTCCAGTCTTGAGGGAGTGGCCTTCTAGAAGACATGAAGCTTATCATTCCACCTTGTCCTAGCTTTGATTCTCTCTCGAATCTCTGTGATTGTCCAAGCAACCTATTTATTTTCAGTCCGCAGGCCGATGCTCTAACCACCGAACCAAACTGGCCAAGGCTCGGGCATCAGCTTTTAAAGTGTGCAAATACACAGTTACATGGGGCCACAGGGGGTAAGTCACACTGGCCACCAGAAGCAGATAATCTAGAGGCGTCCCCCGGGAGCAGCTGGAGTGAAGCAGTGGGTGACACCAACGGGGCACCTGCTGGCCGGAGCGCAGGAGAGTGAACCTGGCACCCAGCCCCTGTCCCTGGCAAGCAATTCAGCAGGCTCCTCGGTGTGGGCCAGATGCCTGTTCTTCAGGATGACACTTCAGCCTCTTTCAGAGAAAGTTTAGGCGCCTCTCAGCCAGCTGCCTCTGTGCTGGGCCGTTGAGTCCCAGTGTGCAAGCCCTTTATGGCCATTTTATCAGTTCACTGGCTTCGCAGGGCATCGGAGACAGCCTTGCTGGCTTTCACCGCGAGATGTTTGGGGGCCTTGTCTCTCAGGTTCAGTTCTTAAAAGTTGGGGTACCACTGTGGGCTTCAAACTTAGTTCTTCAGGGAGAAGCTCTGGGTTTTGAGTTCCCTCAAGTGTAGGTTGCCACACTGGGGTAAGGTTTACGGCAGGATTGCGTCTTAGCCTCTCCTACCTTCTCTGATGTGGGTTTTTTCCTCACTTGTCCAATGAGTAAGAGTCACTCAGCCAGTTTCTGGATTTTTTTTTTCAGAGGAAATTGTTTCACCTGTAGCTGTAGCTTCCGTGTGTCCATGGAAGGAGGTGAGTCCAGGCTCTTCCTGTGTTGCATCTTGAACTGGAAGTATCTTGTTTTAAATATTTTTGATGTAGCTGGACTGTGTTTAAAGCTGCACCTTTCATTTCTCACTATAGTTAGGGGATCATAGTAATAACCAGCTGATCGTACGTTCTGGAATTGTCTAATCCAACTTACTGACCAAGTTTGAATACCTTCAATAAGAGGAGACGCTCCCAGCTGTTCTGTCCCATTAGTGCCCCATTCTAAGAAACTGGAACCTGCAGCTTCCACGCATTAGCCCTAGTTCTGCTTTCTAGAGCAACGTGAAAACTTCTATACGCATAGTCTTGTCTCCCAGGTGGTATCTGATTAATATTTTGGGTCATAGAAACTCTCACATCTTCCCTAATTCTATATACTACTTCTATATTCTAAAATTTATATAAACCACATTCTCTGGTGGTACTCCTCCTGCCTTTTAAAATGTCTCAATTTGCAACGGCCTAAGGAAGAGCAGCATAGCACTTTTTCTTCTTAATGGAACACAAAATATTGGCTTGTTGTATTGATGGTAATTTAGGTGGAATGAATTACAGTATATGAACACTGCCCATGTGTTATGCAAGTGGAAATGTTCCGTTGAAAGTGGTGGGCTGGGTCCTTAGAGAGGTGAAGGTGCAAAGGGCATTCCCCCATCCCAACATCCCCCCAACTCTCGGTCCCACTGCAGGAGCAATTCCAAGGCCCCGCAGCTTACACTACTGAGAGATCAACTAAACAGGAGCTAATGATACCGCAACCAGCATGTCAAGGCAGAAGAGGAAACAGAAATCTTAGTTCTTTCAAGGATGGAGGGATATAGGGGAGTAGACAGAGGGCTACTAAGTTTGAATATATAATGTTTTTGGAGTTGAGCAAGAGTTTATAATAAATATGTTTAAGGGTAAAAAATTGAGATAGAGAGGGTTGATCACTGACTGCTGAGAGAAAGGAAGGCAGGAGAAGGTTTCTCAGTGGGTAAGCAGGAAGAGGAGCTTATGGATTTTCTGCAGGGTGACCTCAATTTTTCTCTTTGAAGTAGAAGGCGAGGCCATCTGAGACAGCGGGGGCATGTGGCTGGAAGGGAAGAGGGCCCAGCACGGATGGCGTAGCTGCCACTGGGCTCCGGAAGATTACAGTGGCCTCAGCAGTACTTTGCGCAACATTCTCCAGCTCAGCGCGGCACTCAGGTGGTCTAACAACTGTGCTAAGAAGGCTCATTGAGATTTCTAAAGTACCAGTTCGTTTTAAAAATTTTAAAACTTCATTTTCTTTACCAAGACAGGCTGTGATCATGTTTAATGCTTAAATTTTTATTCTAAATAGATTCCAATCAGAAATTAAATGACTAAAAGGATAGCGGTGCGATTGCTAAACGAATTTGCAGTATAGTTAACCGCTCTATGTACCTTTGCTGGGTCCTTCGCCTTCCCCCCATTCCTGGACGCTCTGGAGCCGGAAGCAGTCTTCTTGGCTTTGTCCTAGGGCAGCAGACAGGTAGTGAGACTCCTGCTATCATTAATCCCCGTAGGAATTAAGTATTGGCTGCAATTGCATCAGTTCAGACCATTCTTTTTAATAGCCTAGAGATCTCCAATTTAATTAAATAATAGAAAACTTGGGGCATTTTAGTGACGATTTTTTGAACAATGGTGAATGTACCAAGAAGTGATTAAGGTAGGAAGTAAAAGGATAAAAAAAATGAGGAAAATGTTGGCCACACGGATGCTCTGCCAATCTCTATGACTGCCACAGGCTAAGAATAGGACACCGTTCAGTGTCACGAAGAGCAATGGAACAGTGGAGACAACCATAGACAGCTGGGGGAAGAAGGCACACATAAATATAAAGTCCACTCACCAAAAAGGCATTATTTTCAAGGTTCCAGGAGTGAGAAATTAGAAATTAAACTAGAAATTAAATCACCCAAAAGGGGAAGGACTGGCAATTCAGTGAGTGGGAGATGTGCTTAATAGCTGCCAAAGCCACGCCAACCCGAGCTCTGTAGTGTTAATTCTTCTCACAATAACAAGGACAGTCATTTCATTTTCCCTTCCGATTTATGGAAGGGTATAATATATAGGTAAAATGCCACACAGCTGAGTTACACATTATTTTTCCATTCACTAATAATCATGTTTTGAGCATCTGCTATATGCCAGGCATTTGGCTAATACTGAGCACGGAGGTCAAAGATACACCACTACCATATAAAGCACACAGCCTGGCGGTGTAATACACGTTACTGTCGGTGACTCAGAAGTCACCCAGACGACAGGGAAGGGAGAAGTAGTAAGAGAAGTCTTCCCGAAGGAGCTGATGGTTGAACTAGGCCCTGAGGGATGAGGAGGGAACCCCAGGGCAGCGGCCTGAGAGAGGAGGTGTCGTAAGGGACCGCTTCCATATCAAATGAACACAGACCAAGCCCTCCTGTTTTCCAGCAACACAGTGCAGCCATCAGAAATGACGCCAATAGAGCAGCAACATGGAAAGCATTTATGAAATAATGTTGAGAGTCCATAAAATACACCGCTTACGTACAACTACGTAAAATATATACCAATGGACAAGGACAAGAAACGTACTCAATAGTGTTTGCGAGGTAGTAGAATTATATTTTTTCTCTTTTCAAGTTCTCTATGGCATCATTCAATTCACTTCATAGTCTTAAATTATATATACGTACACACATTCAAAGAAAGTCAATATGAAAGAGCACAGTACCTGTGCTGTGTTCTCTGAGGTTTCTGCAGCTGGAGGACGGCCGTCTAAATCCTTGGACAGGGCATCAGTGGGGTCTTGGTCATCTGCAGGTTTCTGAGACATTAATCAGAATAACCATCAGTGAAGAAATGCAAGGCAAGAATGCTATATAGTAGCTTTTCCCACATCACTGAAGATGTTTACTGGAAAAACAAAATAAACAAACAAACAATAACAACAACAACTTGCTGACATTCTTCTCCTGTTAAAGTAATATATTATAAAGGAGATATTAAAACAGGAAAATACTGACAGCAAGTTGCGTGGTATTCTCTGAGCCTTGACATTCTCATATAGAAAATGGAACTGCCTATTTTGAAGGGTTCCTGGGAAGACTGAATGAAATAATAATAACACACTCTTAAATGCACATGGCATCGTATCAAGCATGGGGTAGGCATTCAATAAATTTTAGATTTCTCAACTGCAAAAAAATGCAGCTGGAATTAAAAAATATATATTTTATAGAAACATGCGGCTGTGGTATTTACCTTTGATTCCTTGGGTTTCTCTTTAGGTGGCGTGCCCTTAAAAACAAAGCAGGCTATTGGTTAGACATAGGTTTTGTAAAGGTTTACTGAGGTGCAGTCAGTATTTATATTATCCAGTGACTTGACTTGGAGGGTATATATTTGCAACAACTGATTAACCTAGGTCCCTACTATGCTCCCCTGGCTTTGCTTCATTACTACCTTATAACTATTTTAATGGGAAAAAATGCAAGAGAGTTTGGCCCTGGAAGTGAAAGAAACACTAATTATTTAGGAACTCTTCGCTATCGTGTGTTACAATTCTACTTAAAATGTTACAAAAAGTAACTTGTGATTTTATGTCTTATTTACTGTGCTTAGTATAATGCAGAAGGATTTGAGGTGCAGTCTGCAGAGACATGTTTTTTGTTTTTTTGTTTTTTCAGTCAGGATTACCAGTACAACTCCTCAGGGATTTTTCCCATCTAGAAAGCCAAAGACATTAACTAATGCATTTTCCAAAGAATCCAAGCAGGGTCAGGTGGTACTCTCAAAGCAGGGAGGATTGCAGCTGGGTGCAGAATTGCTATCTCCAAGAATACTGAATACAACAAGGAGAATTGATTCCTGTAAGAGGAGACACTCAAGCTGATAACCCCCTTTAAACCAAATGAAGCAATACAGAAAGATGGATGTAATTTGGACTTCCTTGTTTGTATCTGATCAGCAGGCCTGGAAAGGGTTATTTATCATCTAACTGACTTACAACTAGGAGCCAAACAGGCTGGAAAGAGGTATAGGCCAGGTTGACCTAAGAAAAACTGGCTTCTGTGTTAGAGGCAACAGGCCCGGACTCCTTGAACAGAGTATGTTTAGATGTAGAAACAGCACTTGTAAGGATACGGCTTTGCCTGTCTTCACTCAACAGTGCTGATGGGGGTGTAAGAGAAGGAAGAAAGGGAGACCCCAGATCTTGAGGTGCCTTATTTGCCCTATTAAATATTCCAATACTAGTTCCTATATTAATAGACAGGCTCTACTTCAGTTAGGATTACAAATATTATTTCTTTTATAGACTTTTCTTATAAAAAGAACTCATCTGTGTACATACCTTGGAACCACTGTTGAGCATCAGTGAGTGACTGAACACTATTCAACTCTCTTTACGCCATGGTGTCCAACTTAACTGAACATCAAACGATCTTGGAGTAAATAAATATTAAATAGAAGCCTAGACAGCCTGCTCAACAGGGACACATTAAAAATAGTCATGCTACACTGTTATGCTATTGTTTAAGTGCACCTCCTGTTCATTTCAAGTGAGGTTTGAAGTTAAAAAGTTTTGTGGTGTATATCCAATCTCGACATTTACCTTATCTTTATCCAAGAGATGTCTGTATTCAGGTGGGATAGTGTCATCTCTTTCTCCCAGCTTGTCTCTATGTTCAGCCTTAGCTTTTTCCTATAAACATGGAAGGAATGTCATTAATATCCCTTTCCTCCTTTGCTTACAGAATACATTCCGAAATGTGGCATCCAGCTTTATTGTACTTTTCTGAGGCAGAATATATGGTCTATTTTTATTTTTTAAGCAGGAGAATAACAAATGCATGACCTGAACGGACTATTAGTTGATGAAGAAAAGTAAACCCATGGTGCTTCTACATCTGAATTTTCTATCTGTATTTTAAAGTAAAATAAATGATTAAACAATTATCCTCAGAAACCATGTAAAGAGATAAAACCCAAAGGCATAAAATACCTTTTTCTGAGAGTTTCACTTTTCAAATAAAAAAAATCAAGTCACTGTACCATGGCACTTGGAGAGGTAACAGTAACCCTATTTATACGGGACCCTGAAGGACCAGGACAAGTAGCAAAGCCGGATGGGTGTGCTGACAGCTTGTGTTGCAGACACAACACTTGCTGATAAGCAGCACCTACTGTCCAGCACCCCCACCTCAGTGGGGTGTGGCTGGTCTCTCTCTGTCACAAATTCAGTGACATTAACTCTTTCCCACCCAGGGAGGGGGTGCTTTTGATTTACCTACATCTTTATAATTTCATTTTTTAAATATAGATTAAGTTCACATCAATATTCCTATGACGATGGTAGAATCAAGACATAATGATTCTTTAAAACGCCCTTGGGACACTGATTTGGATGGTGTTACTTCCTGGTTCCAAGCAAAATGTATCGTTAAATATTGCACGTTGTTAAGTATAAATAAGTACTTGGACATGTTGCAAGAAGATACGCAGTTAGCAATGTGTGCCTTGTAGACACCTCTGCACAGCAGTGAAGTCCTAGTGCAAAGCTCTCTTGCTTTCGGCGTCTGCACACAGTTAGTTGTGACAGCAGAGGCCACTGGGGGACCGTGGCCACGGCATGGCCACGGCATGCCCACAGCAGGTATCATGCATACGAAGTCTGCCGGTAAAACCACCAAGCTGAGCTGTGCTTTCCCATCATCACCAGGCTTGGTCTCATAGACAGGACATTTGCCTGAATCTGGGCACAGTACTCACCGAAGAGGTAAAGAAACACAACAAAGACCACAGAGAGGGAAAAGTGAGACAGTCATCCAAAGATGCATTAACTCCAAAGTCCGAAATGTATTTTTTCCTCATTGTGTTGAGGGTATGGTATGCTATGCTATGAAAAAAGTCTTAAATTTCCACTCTTACCCTGACTTTATCCTTCAGTGGTTTGTCCTCATCTGGATCAGGCTGCCTTTGCCCTAGACGGTCAGAAAGTTGATCCAGGGCATCGTCGAGCTCTTTGCTGTCCTTCTGTTTAAAAGTAAATCTGAATTAGTCACTGGTTGGCCAAAACAGGTCACCCATTGGAGTGTGGCCCCAACACTGTCACAAAGATTTCCCTAAGCATTTCCATGAGGGAGATGGGCCGGGGGCGGGAGGCACTGGGCTGCCAACCCTGGCCCGGGCTGCTTCTCCTGCTTTCTGGCTCTCAGTGTCTGTCCCCCCCTGCCCCACCCCCATATGTCTTTCACCCGCCAAGAAAACAGGTCTTTCCCAAAAAGATAGGGTTCACTGGTCTGATTTGCTAGGAAATGTGTCTTAAGATACTCTAGTGTCTGTAACACTACAGATAGTCTAATGTCCCCAGCAGTGAAAACTCACGTGAATTATTACTATAGCATAGTTTACTCTTTGATTTCCAAGTCTATTCATTTAAATAAAGATTATACCTAATTTTAGTGATGGCTCCAAATAAAATATTAACTGAAACTAGACCTTCTGATGGAAAACCTGATACAGGTATCATTCTAAAACATATTTGTAAAAGGCAAATGCATGCAAAAAATGAAACTAAACCTTCTTACACTAAAGATTTAAATGTAAGACTCAAAACCATAAAACTCCTAGAAGAAAACATAGGCAGTATAATCTCTGACATTTCTCTTAATAATATTTTTTTCTGATATCTCTCCACAGACAAAATTAAAAATAAACAAATGAAATGACATCAAACTAAAGAGTTTTTGCACAGCAAAAGAAACCAACAAAATGAAAAGACAACCTACTAAATAGGAGAACACATTCACCAATAATAAATCCGATAAGGGGTTAATATCCAAAATTTATAAAGAACTCATACAACAACCAAACAATCCAATTTAATAATGGGCAGAGGACCTGAATAGACACTTCTCCAAATAGAACATACAGAGGACCAATAGACATATGAAAAGATGCTCATTGCAACTAATCACCAGAGAAATGCAAATTAAAACCACAGTGAGAGATATTACCTCACACCTGTCAGAATGGCTATCATCAATATATCAACAAACAAGTGTTGGTGAGGATGTGGAGAAAAGTGAACTCTTGTGCACTGTTGGTGGAAATGCAGATTAGTGCAGCCACTATGGAAAACAGTGTGGAGGGTCCTCAAAATAATAAAAAATGGAATTGCCTTATCACCTAGCAATTCCACTTCTGGGTATATATCCATAGAAACATGAAACACTAATTCAAAAGGATATATACACCCTTATGTTCATTGCAGTTTTATGTACAATAGCCAAGATTTGGAAGCAACCCAAGTGCCCATCAGAAGAATGAAATCTTACCATTTGTGACAATATAGATGGACCTAGAGGGTATTATGCTAAGTAAAATGAGTCAGAGAAAGACAAAAACCATATAATTTCACTTATAAGTGAAAACTAAAGAACAAAATAAATGAACAAAATTGAAACAGACTCGTAGTGAGAAAGCAGACGGATGGTTGCCAGGGGAGAGGAGCATTGGGGTCCTGGGTGAAAAGGCGAAGGGACTGAGAACAGATTGATACTGTAAAGAACAGCATAGGAATAGAGTCAATAATATTTAATAACTATGGTGCCAGGTGTGTACTGCAAATATCTGGGGGAAAACACTTTGTAAAGTATATGATTGTTTAACTCCTATGTTGTATACCTGAAACCAATACAAAACAATACTGAATGTAAACTGTAATTGAAAAATAAAACATAATTGAAAGCGAAAACAAAATCAGGACACTTTTTGCTAAAAAAAAAAAAGACTTTTGGTTGTGGACATCTACAAACAGCCCCAATCAGGGCAGAACCTGTCACCTGAGCATTAAGAACAGAGTGTCAGTGGCAGCCTGCGTTATTAATGATTCTTCCTTTCTGTTGCACAGGGACTTTCATCATGTGGGTGTCATACACACAGCATTCTACTAGTTTTAAGTGCTTCATGAGAGCCCAGGATTATAGCTACTAATGGTGGAACTGCCCTGGGTCTGGGCTTTGTCATTTGTGCCTCTGGATATTTTCAGATGCTCCTGAGGCTGACCCAACAGGATGAAAATTCTTTCAGAATCTCTGACTACAGCACTAAGTGAGCTTTGATGCTACATCAAAAGGAAAGGAAGCAGAGCTGACTTCACTGAAGCTACTTCATCTCCATCTAGCAAACCAGGCACTTCTCAACCGGAGGAGATGGGGGTCTGGTTTAGGGCAATCTCTAGCGTTTGATGTGCCGAGGTCTTCTCAATAATTCCACATTTGGTCCTGCACAGAAAATTAATCAAGGAAGTCTGGAAGAACTTTGATCCCTCGGAACATGTAAATAATTAAAACAGTATTGATGCTGAGGTTTTTCTGTTGCTAGCAAGAAAATGACAAGTTTTTACCGGTGTGAATGGGAGGAAAACAATGCTGTTCTATGACATGTTTGTTAATTTGCAGGGGACAAAAAGCTCAAACACTGAACAATTTCATAAAATAAACTTGAGATTAAATAATGGGTAGTATTTACAGCATGTGTTAAAAAATATAAAAAAGGAAAAAAGTCAATTATTAGGAAAGCTCAAAAAGTTTTAAAATCCAATTATTCAAATACATACACAATGTACATTGCACTTTCAATTCTAATAAAGCAAAAATTGAAGCTCCTCAACTATGTGTAAAATGTTTTCACACATATTGTTTCATGAAACCATTTTCAATATTTTGTCATCTCCCTAAATTGCCAGTCTTCTCTCTTCTGAAGGTGCCAATATTTCTAACAATTTTTGTCTATTTCCACTTACTCTAGCAGGAGTCCTATTTTCTTTCTTCTTGTTGTTGCTGCTGCTGGGAAAATAAATATTTATAAAAGATGTTGCCTACCTGAGCGCCAGGGGCTGGACCTGCAGAGTGGGTGGTTGTCGCTGGGGTTTGGGAGACCAGTTCTGAGATGGCAGCTGACAGTCTAGCATTTTCTAATGGCTTTTGTTAAAAAAAAAGAGAGAGAGAGAGATTTTTAATATTAATGTTATATATGAAATTATGTTCACAATGCCATCACTTAAATACAACTCTTAATATAGCTTAATGATTAATTCTCTTGATCCAGATGATCACAGTTACACAGAATCTTAAGAGCAATTTTTATTCTATCTCTTACTCCGTGGTATTATTTCCCACAACTTTCTATTCCTATTTATTATTCTAAATGGTGTTCAATAAGCTAATGACTTAGAGCTTTGTGGCTGATTTACACATTTCTTACTGTACATTTAGGTTGTTTGCAGTTTTTTATCATTCTTCTTTGTAACAGTTGCCCTGAATCAAAGTTCTAGTAGTGGTTCTTTTTATGGTATTAGCTATATTCTGCAAAAATGCCCTCTCAAAAGTTGCTAGGAATTCATACTGTAAAAGCAATGAGTGAGTGTGCTTGTATCCCATGGCCTGGCTCACCTAAATTAGGTGCTTATCACATATTTTAAATTCTGATAATATATTAGGTATGACGATGTAGTACTGTTACTTGCTATCTGATATAAGGCTTCAGTTTTATCATTTTTCTTAATGTTAAACAGCATATTATTCCAGAATCTTTCTGAAACGATTTCCACTAAATCTGCCATTTATGTTCCCTATATTTCTTTTTCCATTGATTTGTGACTTTGATTTCTGAATCAGAACTGTATTTTTTTAACCATTATTGTATAATCAAGCCTATTGTTTAGTTAGGTTAATCTTCCCTAAAAAGAGTGAAAAATGCTTTTCAGTATTTTTTTCATATTTTTATGCATACATTTTCCAAATATATTTCAGAATAATTTTGAGTTACATAAAGTAACGTATTGGTATTTTAATAAAAATATTCACTTATAAAATAATTGGAAATAATGGCCACTGTTCTTCTAACATTTAGTTATACTGTATTGGATGTATGGGTTTTAATTTCTTCATGTTCTTGTTTTTCTATTCATTTCTTCGATTGCAGTTTTCTTTACATAAGTCTGATATCTTGTTAGATAATTATATTTTCTAATCTGTTACTAATATACATAGCATCCATCATGTTATGTATAAATGTGAGCACAAAAACTTCCGGCAACTCCAAGAATTTACAATTTTTTTCTACTTGTCACTTATTGTCTTTCTCCTGCCATTGTCCACACAGGATTAAATAACCCAGACCCTCCAAAACAAGGTTCAGCAGTTATGTAAGTTGGGAACTCCAAGAGGCTTATAATAATAGATTCGCATATAAAAAACCCTGAAAAATCCTACAGCGGAGAAACCTGCTTATTGTTACCCAACATTTCCAAAACTTTCTAGTAACAGAATTCCCTTTGAGAGACTATCTATTCCATAGGAAGCTAGGTTTACCTAGAAGTAATTGTACAATATCAACTGGCAAAGTTGTCTAAGAAGTAACTTTAGCCCAGCTGGTATGGCTAAGTGGTTGAGTGTCAACCCTTGCACCAAGAGGTCACCAGTTCAATTCCTGGCAGGGCACATGCCCAGGTTGTGGGCCCAATCCCCATTGGGGAGCATGCAGGAGATGGCCAATCGATGTTCTCTCTCATCGATGTTTCTATCTCTCCCTCTCCCTTTCTCTCTCTCTATAATCAATAAAGAAAAAACAAGAAGTAATTTTAGATAAACTCAATTTTAAATTTTCTTTTCATGGGTGTACTTGAGAGAGTACATGCTCACTGGTTGAAAATAGTCACTGTGCTAGAACAATATTCAATACTTCATGATGCAACACATTTGTAATGGCTACAGTGGGTTGAGAACCATTAATTTTGTCATTGCTCCCCAAGCTCCCAAGGCAAGTTCTAAGTCACAGTTTCCATTTATTTCTGCCATTCTAAAAGTAACGAAGTAAAACCAGGAGTTTCAGACTTACAAGTGGTGGAGTGTTTTGGGGTCCAGCGAAGTCCTCAGACAAGGCATCAAGAAGGAAGTCTTCACTCATGGGCTGCAAGAACCAGGAAATGTATCAAACACCTCATATGTCTCCTCTTCACAATGATGTCACTGTTCATTTGCTGATCAACTCATTAAAAAGAAAGCTATGCCCTTCCTGAATTACAATCGGGCAAATGAGAAAGATATGCTCAGAGAAAACTGGCTTGCTTACTAGAAGTGATTCCTTGGATGCTTTTGACAGGAGTGGTTTTCCATCTTTGTCCTATCGGGGGGTGGGGAGGGGAGAAAAACATGGCGTTGAGTCATTTCACAGTTATCCTAAGTCTGAATCCTTGTCAACATTATAAGGTCATACCTAATGTTGTTGGACATTACCAATTAGATCTATCATTTCAGGAAACAGATTCTCTCACCAGAGAATATGCCATAATTAGTTCATAATTAGTACACAAATTAGGCATTCCCTAGGTGTAGGGGCTACGGAGCGACTGGGCATGGCCTGTGCCCTCAGATGCCCACAGACTAGTGCTGGAAGAAATGTGAACAGGTCATGCGGTGCTATGACAGGGTGCGTGGAGGTCATGGTGGGAGCAGGGGATGAGCCCAGGGGTTGGGGGGCTTTGCAGAAGTTGCTTGGGAAAAGCTGGTTAACTTTATAGGCAACACATCCAATTAATACACACTGATTTTGTGCCCAGTCCTGTAATAAACACTGGGAATACCACAGAAACTAGGATAGACAAAACCCTGCCCTCAGGGAGAACATCCTATGGGTGGGATGCTCTGAAGCATGGCTGAGATGATGCCAAGCTTCTAATGACTCAAAGTGCCACTCACTTTGGAGTCACAGGATAATCAATAAAACTGTTATGTCTCTCTAGTAAAAGATGTATTAATAAATCCCATCGACTCATACACAAAAATAAATAAGTGCAAAACTACACATATATGTATTTCTCCTGATACACTGTCAAGATGATTTCTGTTTTGTTTAAAATGTGAAGAGGTGTGATGGTTTAGCGTATCACCTGCTTACCCTTGACTGACATAAACTCCTTGACACCCTTGTCCATCCCTGCAGGGTCACTTGGACCCTGACTATTCTTCAGTCAGCAGGGAAAGCAGAACCTGGGCTTGTTCCCCACCATCCCTAAGCTGCAAAGACAGCAGATTTCCCAAGTGACACAGGGGACCGACGGGAACACCTCTGCTCCACACTCAAACTGAAATCCCCCCGTGTCCAGAAGGGAACATTCGTGGGCTCCCTCAGGGAACTGAATGTCACTGCGGAGGCCTGATGTGAGCACAGCTGATGAATAGCAGTAGAGGGCTGAAACGAGACAACCTCCATGAAAATATTGTAAAGTGATAGGTGATCATGGGTGAGATCAACAAGTCCAGAAGAGCATGAAACTACCACCAAATAAGGTGGCCAGGGAAAGCTTTCAACTGCTTTCTTTTTTTTTCTTTTATTTTTTATCCTCACCCAAGGACATTTTTCTATTTTTTGTTCAGATAGAGTGGGAAGGAGAGAAAGAGAGCGAGAGAGAGAGAAAGCGAAACATCGACATGAAAGGGACACATCAAGTGGTTGCCACCCGCACGACCAACCAGGGCCTGGGACAAACTGCAACTGAGGTACGCACCCTTAGCGGGAACCAAACCCGGGTCTCTCTGCATGGCAGGCTGATGCTCTAACCGCTGAGCCAAACCAGCCAGGGCTCAACTGCTTTCTTAAAAACTACTACTAATAGTCAGCAAAGGGAGAGAAAGCAACCCACATCCTGCGATGAAGAGGTTACCTGCCTTGACACAATTGGGGGTGGGGGATGAGTAGGGACAGGACACGTGGCCCTTAAGAAGCTCTCTAAAAACCTTGCAACAGCAAACACACAAGCCCATATTCATAGAAATGCCATGGTCTCAACTGAACTGTGAAATGCAGAAGGAAGCAGAGTAACACTCTGAACCTGGGAGAGCTCAATCTAGTTCCCGTCTCTGCCAGACGAATGTGCTCGTGCCCAGGGAGTTCGACTTTCCTGACTTGGTGGAGTTTAGCCACACCCCCTCTTTAGCACCGGCACCCTATGAAGCTGGCTGCCCTTTCCTACTGCCCACGCAGCTGCGCCTGTTCAAGTGGCCATTCTTACACTACAGATCCACAGTGGGGTGTCCCGCGCCCCTTGTTCTCAACAATCTGTACCTTCCAAATAAAGAGAACGGTGCTCTGCTTTTTTTCACTACATCTAAATGCTGCAAATTTTTCCTCCTAGGAAATTATTGTTCTTCCTTTTCCTTTTCCCATCTACATAAAGGTTTTCTAAGTTTTCTTATTTCTGGTATTGTAACAAACCATGTATTAGATGGGAAAAATTAGGTGGCTTAGACATTAGATCTCTTTCACCTCAGAGAGGACTAAAAGGGCCAGTTAGGACTATTGTGGCTTCATTTCTGGTGTGCTAACAGATTGTCAGTGGACTGATACCATGTGGTGTTTGAAATATCAGGAAACGAGATCGTCATATTCCAGGTCTGCGCCCACGCCCCCTTTTATGTACATGGAACGCAGTATTGAAATAAGGTAGAGAAATACCCCAGTCTATTTACCTTGACCTCTTCTAATCTATAGTCAGGAGGAATTGTTTCTTCTTTTTCACCAAGCTTTTCACGATCCTCTTCTTTGGCTTTCTCCTAAATAGAAATTGTACCATTTTCACTGTGAATACATCGTTTCTCCACAGAGTGGATGCTCGAATGACAAGCTGAGATATACATACCCACTGTTAGGGCAGAGGGTACATATGACTGTATGTGTACAGTTCCTCCAGCATCTTAATCGTTGACACTGTACCCCAGTTTGGCAGGCTCAGACCCCACTACTAAGTCTGCTGGGCCAAAAGGAAGTCCCGAGGAGCAGTGGGCAACGGCCACTTCTCTCGCGAGTCCTCAGCAACAGGAAAGCAGGTGGACAGGGGGACCCGGAACTCAGACTGTGCGTGCTGTCCGTCCGCTGCTGTGCTCACACCCGATGCCCGCTCAGGTTTAGCTATTTGGCAGGGGATGCACAGTAACAGGGGAAGCCAGCTGGTCATATGTTGTGGGAAACATTTTAATAAACGACTAACTTATTTAGGGACTGAGGATGATCAATGATAATTCCTTCCCAGAAGTCTCGAGCTGCCATTACCTTGACTTGATCCTCCACTGGCTTCCCCTCGTCTGGATCTGCTTCCCTCTTCCCCAGGCTGCCGGCCAAGGCTTCCACAGCATCATCTGGCACCATGCCCTTCTGAAAGGACAGGGTGCACGTGCTAAGTAGGTGCTTACTGCCTCCTTTTAAAGAGACTACATCAAACAGTCAGAAGGGCATATTCTTATTTCAGGCCTAGATAAGAAGCACATTTATCTTTTCATAATTTAAATTATCAACTGAATTCGAATCTATGCTTTAAAAAAAACCTAAAATGTTAAACATTAGAGCAAATTTTTTATATCAAGCTTGAAGTGTGTGCAACTGATATTTTGACCCTTGGAAACTCTTAAGATGTAAGCCAGCGTTTTGGTTTGGACGGGAGGCAGGCAATGGAATAGGTGGACAATGGAGAAGCTAATAACCCGGAAAGAACAAAGAAGTGTTTTTCTGGTGGTTGTTCTTGGGGTGGCAAAGGGAAGATTTCCAGGAAAGCCCAGGAGAGGACATTCTTCTCAATGTTCTGTGAGGCAGCCTGGCCCATCGGAGCAGGTGGTTTGAGCCGAGCTGCATGCGTGCCTGTGGTCCCAGCTGCCTTCGACCGGTCCAAGTGGATTCACAATGGTTCTGGTGCATGACCAGCCTGAGTGGTCCAGTGGTTGAAAATGAAATGAAATGTGCTCCGCTCGTGATGTATACTGAGCGATGGCCATGCTAGTATTTAAAAAGAAAGTGGATGGATAGCCCGGCCGGTGTGGCTCGGTGGTTGAACATTGACCCATGCACCAAGAGGTCACCAGTTGGATTCCCGGTCAGGGCACATGCCCAGGTTGTGGGCCCGATCTCCAGTGGGGGGCATGCAGGAGGCGGCCAGTAGATGTTCTCTCTCATTGATGGTTCTATCTCTCCCTCTCCCTTCCTCTCTCTCTAAATATCAATAAAGGGAAAAAAAATTAAAAAAAAAAAGTGAATGAATACAGAGCATAAATGGTATAAAGAGGAAACAAAGCAGAAACTATGTTTGGGCTTAAAGATAGGACTACACCTGACTTCTTCCAAACCACAGGTCATGATTCATATATTAGTGGCTCATAAAATCAATTTATAGTTCATGGCCAGGACTTTTTTTAAAAATAAAAGACTAGAATAGAAAACATCTTAGATGGTAAGGTAAGTACCACTTAAACTGATGTTTCTATTTTGTGGGTGCTAGGTTGTGATAGCAATGTATTTCCTACTATTGGTCTTGATCAAAAATGCGAAAGCCCCTGAATTAAACAGACTCAAATTAATTTTTATCATCAAAGTCTATGAACTCATATTGAGTATATATGGGGTTTTAGAATAAAAGTCTCTTTCTCTGTTTAAAAAAAATTTTTTTTTAATCATTACCCTAGGATATGTTTTGATTTTTAGAGAGAGAAGAATGGAGAAAGAGAAACATCGATGTGAGAAACATCAGTCAGATGCCTCCCGCATGTGCCCCGACCAGGGATGTGCAGAACCTAGGTATAGAACCCGAAATCTTTTTGGTTTATGGGCCGACTCTCCAACCAACTGAATCACCCAGCCAGGGCAAGTCTCTTTCTCTTCTATAGCCTGGCCACCATTCCAAGTAACAAGAGTTGTTTTTCTGCTAAACTGTACTGCAAAAGGAAATATCACCAAGAAAAGGGAGCCTGAGTGGAAAGTGATGTATCACCATCTAGTGGCTGGACACTGAATAGATTTTATTCCAAGAGCAACAAAAATCCCTGATGTAACTAATTTGTTTAGGATTATATCTGAGTCGCAAGAGTTTCAGTGGTCCCCCAGTTTTAGCCAAGCGGTACGTCCTGAGCCTGGACACGTGCTCACACTTCTGTTTTCTCCTACTCTGCTGTAGAATCTTTAGAAACCACTGCTTCCCAAGCCTGTGCCCTTTAGATTAAGAAATAAGTAATTTCTAGCCATAAAAGAAAAAAAAAAGATGAAATACTGCCATTTGTGACAACATAGAAGGACCTCAAAAATAACATGCTAAGTGAAATAAGTCAGACAGAAAAAGTCGGAACTATGATTTCAAGCATATGTGGGATATAAAACTGAAAGCAACAAATGAACAAACAAGATAAACAAACAAAAACTCACAGACACAGACAACAATGCGGTGGTTACCAGAAGGAAGGGAGTGAGGGGGTAGTAAAAGGTAAAGGGGGTCAAATATATGGTGACAGAAGATGATGTGACTTTGGGTGGAAAATACACCATGTAATGTACAGATGATGTATCAGAACTGCACACTTAAAACCTATGTAATTTTATTAACCAATATTACCCCAAAACATTTAATGGAAAAAAAAAAGAAAGAAATAAGTGAAACAGAAAAACTCAGAGAAGTAGCAACAGTCTTAAGATCTAAGGAATCTGGAATAGGACTGAGGACTAAAACTTCGATTTCTATAGTATTTCACGTTGTCAAATTCAGAACTAGAACTTGGGTCTCTGGGTTTCCTCAATAAACTTTCTTTTTATACAAACAACAACCACACATTCACCTCCTGCCTCTGGTCTCTGTTACCTTTTGCTCACTAATCTTCAAGCCTTTCTTGAGTCTTCTGACCTTTATCACACTCTGCAGCTATACTCTCTGGTTCCCAAAGGTGTCACAATCCCAGAAGTGCCAGCTAACCTCAGTGACTATCATCTTGGCGACCATGGTAACCAGAGCTGGTGGAGCAGAGGCCCAGGAAAGGAGGTCAGAGGATGGAAAAACAAGAGCTCTGTTTTCTTCTGTCCACTGAACGTCCAACACTGGACTCTACAGTCAGGGTAGAGCTGGAAAGGAACTAACTGAGCCCTCTAAGGCCCTGGCAGCCACACACGGCACATGCTTAGGCCACAGGAGTTCTGCCCTGAGATGTTGTCCACTACCTTTTCTATTTCAATCACTGCCTCTGATCCTACTTCCTTCACCAGTCTCTTCACGGGGTCTCTCCTCTCTCCTGGTCTTTGCCACTGTGGCCTGGGGCTTGGCTCCCACAACATAAAGCTTTCAGATTACCCTGAGACCTCAAAAAAGGGGGTCAAGTCCTGCATCCGGCAGGAAGGAGACCCTGGACTTTGAGGGGACTTTCAGTTGACACTAACTTCCCTGGCAGGAAGCAGCCACTTCAGGGCACCCAGGACACATGTCCTACACCCTCTCCAATGCCCCCTTTTCTCAAACAACTAAACGCACATATCCCAAGGATACCAAGTGACCCCACTTCTGTGCTCGCCTGTCCTCGGCTCACTGGCCTCCCCACGAAACAGCGCTACTCCCACCATCTCAGGGGTCTTGCCCAACAGCAGCAAGCCTTTCCCAGTGCTTCCTGGAGGGGGAGGCACCATCGTCCCACTGCCCTTTTCCACGACCGATCAAGCTGCCTGGTAGCTGGAGATCGGACCTACATCCACACTGGACGCCCAGGTGGCTGAGGGCAGGAGCCGCGTTTTCCTCTCAGCCGAGGCTCTGAAAGGTTAACTGAATTGTTCAAGGTCAGTTTAGAGGTTCACTCCCCTCATCTGTAACAGAGAGATGATCAGATTTGATTATGTCCCTGTGAAAATTTAATGAGAAGATGTTTATGGTAGAACATCTAGAACAAGATAGCTATTCAGAGTACAGAGCCACCAGTCATGAAACATATTCCACTGATGTTATTCTCTGAGTCGGATTCTATCTGCTAATGAATTAACAAAGAAACAAAGATTCAACTAGATAAATATCATAATTCACCCAAAAGACAGAAAGTGAGAGAGAGGCAAGAAATGAAGAAGGGAGAGGAACTGAGTCCATCTAGCCTCCCTTCAGGCGGGAGCGGGATGGGTCAGAATGATACTGGTATAGATTATTCTACCAGGAGAGCCAAGAATAGGGGACTACAAATGGGCTTTAAAAAAAAAAAATTTTTTTTTCATTATTGATTCTTAGAGGAAGGGAGAGGGAGAGAGACAGAAACATCGATGAGAGAGAACATCGATTGGCCACCTCCTGCATGCCCCCCACTGGGGATCAGGCCCACAACCTGGGCATGTGCCCTGACCGGGAATTGAACCAGCGACCTCTTGGTACATGGGTTGATGCTCAACCACTGAGCCACACCGGCCAGACTACAAATAGGCTTCAAAAAATGCACAAAAGTGAAAAAGCATGATTCTTCACAATAGCTGAGGAAATAGAAAGAATTCCAGAGGGTGAAAGAAAAACACAGTGTGTAGTAATTTAATTAAACATTTAAATATAGCCTGAATTTCTAGCACACCCTGAAGTCCCAGTATAGTAGCTACCACTGTTATAGAAGATGTTATTGTTTTGTCAGTACACAGAGCAGAAGGTGCACAGGCGGAAGAACATTGACGTGTCTCAGCCCCAAGGAGCACTCACCGAAGCAGCGGGCTGGGGCGGTGCCGGCTGGGGCGGTGCCGGCTGGGGCGGTGCCGACTGCACGCTGCACAGGGAGGCCCGAGGCACATCCTCTCCCACGGGAGCCAGGGCCTGAGAGTCCTGTGGGAAGAAGCAGGCACGATGAAGAATTTTGAGAAATACCTGCTTAGTAACATCTGAACAATGATGAATCAACAATACACTCTGCTACATTATACACCGTGAGCATGATTTTCTTGGATACCTAATTTGTTGAATAAGTCAGTCAAGGCATGTTAAAACTCTTCCGCTACATTATTTCAACTTAGTTTTACCTTTTACCTTAGGTAGGTTACTTAACCTCTCTGAGACTCAGTTTCCACATCTGAAAAATGAGAATAATAAGAGTACCTACATCTCAAATAATAAGAGTACCTACATCTCAAGGGTTGACAGAGGGCTTTAATGAGACAAAACATGTGAAGTGTTTTGCAAAATACCTGGAAACAGTGAACTCAATACATTTTAGCAACTGTTATTGTTTATTTCTCATAATATATCAATTATATAATGCAATATAATATTTTATATAAATACTTCATTTTTATATATCTAAGAGCACACCTTGCACATTTTGTTTTATTTTATTATTTATTATTATTATTATTTTAATTCTCACCCAAGGATATTTTTCCATTTATTTTCAGATAGAGTGGGAGGGAGGGAGAGAGAGAGAAACATTGATGTGAAAGAGACACATCGACTGGTTGCCTCCCGCACAACCCTGCCTAGGGCTGGGGACAAACTGCAACTAAGGTGGCATGCCCTTGACTGGAATCGAACCCAAGACTTTTCAGTCCAAGGGCTGACGCTCTAATGGCTGAGCCAAACCGGCCAGGGTGCACCTTGCATTTATTAAATAGCTATGTACAAATGCAAAGCAGTAATACTATCCCCAGAGTTCCCACAGTGTGGCCCCTGGCCCAGCAGCCTCGGCATTTCCAGAGAACCTGTTAGAAATGCAAATTCCTGGGCCCCCACGCCAAGACACTAAATAAAAAATTCTGAGGTTCGGGCCTAGCAATCTGTTTTAACAAACCCTCAGGTGATCCTGGTGTATGCTAAAGTTTGAGGACCACTGCACTATCTTATTTTATCACAAGTTAAAATGTCAAATAAACTGTTTTTAATCCAGGCATTTATGGAAATCTATCAATATGCAAGGTGTTTAGTAGATGATTGTTAATAGGGAATGGTTTCTTCTTTCAAAGAACTTACTATTTAAAACTATGCATAAATGTAAGATGTACAGAAGGTCTAAGAGCTAATAATTTGTTTGCAACAAATGCCTTAACAGGGATATATAAAGAACACAGATGCCCTGGCCTGTGACCTGCTTAATTCGAGTCGGAAGGGCCGTCAGGTTTGGGGAGGGAAAAGCAGGAGACCGAGGCCATATTTTAGCCCAGCCTTAAAGGGATGACTAAGATTTGAGTTGATGCAGAATTGGGAGGGAAGGTTATTCCAGACAAGGAACCACATGAGAAAAGCCACGGAGACATGCAACGTCATAGTTTAGTGATGTGGGGACGCACCTTGGTAGAGAAGGAAGCTGGGGCCAGAATGTATTAGTATAAACTCGTCTTTTGTAGGAAATGGGTAGCTCCCGAGTATTGGAGCAGGGGACGATGCGACTATGGCACACTTGAGAAAAAATAATGCTGTGTACACAGAGGGTGGACTGGAAGGAGGCTGAAGACTGAGGCCATTGCTGTCCTGAGGGGAGCGGGGATGACAGCTTTAACTGGGGCAGTGACAGAGAGGCAGGAATAGAAAGGGAAGCCTGGGTGTGAACGCTTTCCTGAAGGAAAATTACAGGACTTAAATTGCAAGAAAGTCAGGGTCAACTTGGGGGAAAGAAAGCACATTCAGAAAAAAGCAAAACAAAAGCCGTGTGTAGAAAAAGACAGCATAATGGGCCTTTTTATCAACCACTTCATGCTAAAATTCTTTTGGTCTTACATTTGCAAGATGATAGAAAAACAACATAACAAGCAAAACTAGAGACTTATTTTTAGAAACATACTTTTGTTTTTTCAGTTGGCTTAGCTTGTTTTTCTTTACATTTAGCCTGGTCAAAATCTTCTGCAAGCTCGTCAATGAGTTCTGATTCACTCCGGGGCTGTAATATAAGACGCGTTGTATATTATGAAGTGACTATTTTTAACTTTGTTTAAAAAAAAAATGTTTTCCTAGAGAAGTTTTTCTGGTTAACACATATTAGGCCATAGTATGTTAGGATCTAAAACCAAAAGCATTTCCTTAATCAATGTAAGATAAATGTTGTGCAACAAATAAGGAATATTCAACACCTCAGTACCACAAAAATGTTAATGGCTTACAGTTTTAGAGAGTAATTTGGTTCAAATAAAATTGCCTGTTCTTTCCAATGAAGATGTGTATAGTTTTTTCTTTTGTGATTTTTTTTTTTTTTTTTTTTTTTTACTATTTCCTAATGACTTCCCTTCTGAATAAGTCAGAGGAAGAACAGGCCATATACTCCTTTCCTACGAATACATGGGTTTTGGCAGGACGTTCTGTTATCCCTGGTTCCTGCAGGTGAGGCAGATATTTGTTTAGGGCATGTGTATATTTTGCCTAATAATAATCTATGACAGAATTCAGAAGCTGGGCCCCAGTGTTGGGCAGCCTGGATTTAGAGTCCTGGCCTTGCTATTTTCTAGCTGTATGATCTTAGGCTATTGATATAATCCTTCTGTGTCTCAGTTTCCTCACCTGTGAAATGGGAATAATAATAGCCCCTTCCTCATTCGGTGAAGACTCAAAATGTCAGGCACATAGTAAGTGACCGATAAAAGTTGCTTAGTGTTAGCATTGCACTGGTTGAGACCAATGTAAGTAATGGCAGTGTAGAATCATTTAGAGTATTTGCTGCTGTGATTGGAATCAAACTCTAAGTGTTAACAATCAAATTTAAGTACCCTCTTGGCATTAGCTCCTAATGTTCAATGAATGTCACCTAGATATTTATAATAATCTAGTGTTAATCCATGAGGGAAATAATTAAAATCTGTGAAAAGCAGTCATGGATCTGAGCCAAGTGTTGCTCTCAGAAGTTTCCCTCTCCTTATCCTGTCTGTTACAATGATCTCAATTTATGCTTCACAGTTCTATTGTTTTATATAGAAAATATATTTCCTAACCTTGGATTTTTCTTCAGGCTCTGGCAATAGTGGTTTTCCATCTTTATCCTGTAAATGAAATTGAAAATTCACTGAAAATGAAACAGAAAATTTTGCTTTCGTGACCCATTAAGATTGTCTTAGGGATTCCAGGATATGAGAAGAGCGCTTTTCCCCCCTAATATTTGAGTGGATTTCTATTTCAGATTTATCTTTTATGAAGTATCCGAACAAAGAGTCGAGATGTAAAAATCAAGAGACCAAATATAAAATATAGTGCACATTTACTTTTCTTTAAAAGTTGCTTAAAAATGCTGTCTATTCAATAAGAAAATAGAATTTAAAATATCTTTCACAAGATAGGTTCAGCTACATTAATGAAATATATATATATATATATATATATATATATATATATATATATATATTTTTTTTTTTAAAGCCTCAATTCTCCAACCCCAGCGAAGAGGTAGATATTATTCCTAAAATACTGTTTTAGTTTTTTTTTTGGATACAAGGTTTCACAATTTAGAATATTTCTAACAGTGAAAACCTTTCCACCTATGAACATATATGAGAATGACAACTGTTTCCCATCATGTGTTTATGTGTATTACCTCACAGATAAATTCCAGCTATAATTACAGGAGTTAGTCCACCACCCTCAGCTCAAACCCAAACCAATGAAACCTTAATGTGGGTCACTGATAAACAACTGTACGTTTCTACCTACCACTTAGATCTATGGTGCTTTTGTCCAGATAGCAGTTAGAGAAAAAAACTATTCCCAAATTGTTCCTTCTGCTTCAAGGCGAAGGATCTATTTTTCAAGCATTGTTAATAGTGGAAACACTTGAATTTGTGGGAACTTTAATAATCATATGGTCACGACTTAGGAAACCACCGCTTAAAGGGTCTAATTGTAGAAGAAAGGGCTCAGGGTGTCCAGAGTTAGTATATAAACCAGAACAGATGTGTCCTTAGCACCATGGCACAGACATTCAAACCAGGACGGGAAGGCCTGAGGTGTGCACTGCCGGTGTGCACCGTGGCTAACAATGTACCATCGCTGGTTTCAATCTGTACTCCTCTGGGACCGTTTCGTCATCCTCACCGCACTTCTCTCGTTTCTCTTCTTTGGATTTTGCCTGATGAAAGCAGAGAAAAAAAAACAACAAATAAACATTTGGATAATACATGTAAAGTAAGATGGTATCACGTTATGTACGTCATGGGTGTTGTAGAGAAAACCCAACCAGATCAACGTGTCTGTGCTTTGTAAACCACAGCAAGCGAGGAGACTTGGGCTATAAAATGGGGCCACTAATAATCCTTACCTAGCTACTGACGTGTGAGGACCACTACAGAAAAGGGAATGAAATACCCTGAGACAGTGAAGCACAGTGCAAAGTGCACTGCAGTTATGTTTCGAGCCTTCCTCTTTCTCCCTCAACAAGGCAGCCGTCCACCGGGGAGAGAACCGTTCTCAGGAGGGTGACCACGGCTTGGAAACGGGGGAAGCAGCCCATCACAAATCTCTGCTGATCCAAGGACAACGGCTTTACCTCTTCTACAAGGACTCCCTTCAATAACACCAGGAGACCCCACTGGATTAAGGAACCACAAACAACCACCTCTGTTAAATATAAAAGAGTACAGTAGTTCCCTAATAGGTCTCTGGCTTCTAGGATATAACACTTGCATTTTAAACAACTGGTGAGTAACTCAAAGTTCCATGATCTGTAATAATTTGTATCTATATCAAGGCATAGATTTAAACCCCAAACCAAGGAGCTCCTGGGCACAAAGGGCGGGCAGGAGTCACTCAGCACACTGCAGCCCAACCCACTGCTCCCACCGACATCTCAGCCTGAGACTGTAGTTCTCCATAGAATGATTAGTTAATTGATTCATTATAAAATGTTGATTAAATTTTTTTTTCTTTTTGATTTTAGAGAGAGAGGGAGGGAGAGGGAGAGAGGGATAGAAACATCAATGAGAGAACATCGACTGGCTGCCTCCTGCATGCCCCCCACTGGGGATCAGGCCCACAACCTGGGCATGTGTCCTGACCGGGAATCGAACCAGCGACCTCTTGGTGCATGGGTTGATGTTCAATCACTGAGCCACACTGGCCAGACCATTTAAAAAGATTTATTAAGTACTTTAATGAGTCAGGAACTCTGCTAGGCTTTGGAATTACAGTTTTATTGTTCTATAGAATAACAACTCTCGTTAAGGGATAAGAATTTTTTTTTTTTTAATTTCCAGTTATATTCTGTGGCAGATAAGGGGGAAGCCCTATCGTGTGGTTCTCCTGAATTCATAGATGTGTGAGGTCTCTGCCTGTAAACCAGCCTTCACGAAAGACAAGGCCCCCGGTTTGATAAGACCATGCTCTCCATTCTACTCAGACCTGCCCACAGTCATGTGCACAGCCAGGTCCTTTCTATCCCTTTGACCTTTATATTCTCTAAATGCCTGCACTGTGGGTATTGGGAGTAAATGTCTACTGACTTGGAATAGCGCCAGACTAAGGGAACTACACAGAAATGGGGGAGATTACTAATGAGGTACCACTATAAACGTTATTTAATGTGATGATACCTTACAAAATGACAAGTCGGCACGGACCCCTTCTCGGAAGCACAGTGGATGCTTCCTCAGAGAGCTCTCCTGCCTCATCACATCAGACTGCCCAGGAAGTAATGAATTCACCAACTTAAAAAGTTCTTTTATTTAACTTTTTCTTATATCTACTCATCTAATTTTAGTTATTCGAAGACTCTTTTTGTCCTGGGATTTATATTTATCCCTTCCAACCCCTAATTATTGTCTCATTGAGTCACCAGAAACGTCTGTGAAAAGCCAAAGAGCAAGTGCAGTTGGCTCAGGGCCATGCACCCCTTGGCAGTGGAGCCACAGCTCAGCTGGTCTGATACCACCGTCCTGGTCCTGCCAGGACTCCCTTTCCTTAGCCGGGCTTCTATCTGGCAGCTCTAAGTTATGTGGGTCTCGCACTGAGCTTCAAGCAGTTTCCTTTCTTCCCAATACATTACTTGGTCCTGCAGGACAAGGGACGCCTCCCCTGCTCCCCTCTGTTCGCCTTCACAAAGCATGTCCTTCCACATGGCGTCTGGGGAGCCCTCCAGGAAAGTGGAAGAGAGGAACTGGCCCATTTCGGACCCGGGCGGCCCCAGACTCAGGGAGAGTTGCTGGGAGTCGGTGAGACTCACCTTCCCCAGTGACTCAAACAGGAAGTGACAGCGCAGGCAGCAGCATTGTGACAGCAGCACCCGGGGCCCCTCCCGGAGCTGATGGGTGGTGCTCCCAGGGCCCCCAGCACCCTGCCCTGCTGGGAATGTCCCCAGGGCAATGCTCTCTGTCCTTCTTCTTTTCCCCCAGAAGACTTAGCTGAAAATTCTTTAAAAATTGTAATTTAATAAAACCGGGCTCCACCAAATACAAGCTCGCTTTGGCTTAGGCTCGTTAAATCTGGTTAAGGGGATAAAAAGTGCCAGGCGTCACTCTCTGAACATGCAGCCGCTTCAGTTACAGAGTAACCGTTGCTGGATTTTATTCTAGTCTGGGGCACATTTTCCACAGCTTTCCCCACAGATATAAAGAGAAGGTTCTCCCCACCCACATACAGTCCTCTGCCTCTCTCCTTATCAATGGAGGTGCCCCAAACCCTCTGAAAATACAAATTTGCAATTTCCATATGAGCAAACCTATTTCTCACCAGGCACTGCTTCCGTGTTATCTTGTTGAGTCAGGTGCAATTTAAGCATTGGCAAAGGAGATCAGTGCTCATTTTTATATAAAAATTCTAGATGGTTTACAAGAGAAACACTCAAAGATCCTTCCTGGTTGCTAACTCCCCAGCAACAAGTATGTAAATTAACCAGAGACCCTGAAAGTAATGCCGAATGAAGAGTAGCTCATTTTAAACCTCCAATAAAATAACAGTTGTGCAAAAATTCTGAACACGCATAACACACGTAGTCAGTAACCTGCAGACGAACATGCTTTGCATCTGAACTCCGAGGGCAGTACCTCATCGACTTCCTGAATGGAGCTGAGGTCGAGCTCGGGCTCTGACTTCCGGTGGCCCAGCGAGGCGGAAAGAGCCTCCAGCGCCTGGTCGCTCATCGTGTCCTGTTAAAAGGAAAAATGCTGCCCATTAACACAGAGAGCATGTCCTCAGCCTCAACAATCCATCCGCTTCTTTGCGAAGTACAAATTTCAGATCTAAAAGATGAATCGTGTGTTGGGGAAGGACTCTGGGAAGGTCATTTTATTTGAAACCCGGCAAAAGAGAAAATCAAGAACTTACCGGTGAGTGAAATGGGCTAAGACACGTTTCTTTCTGCAGAAAGTGCTCCCAGGGGCACTGCACCTCTAACTTAAGCTAGGAGTATATCTATAATCATAATTACGCCATTGCAAATACTCATATCAAAATAAGAGCTGCAAGAAGTGAACTTTCACTGTCCTGTTTCTCTTTTTCTAAAAATGCCTCTGACCACCCTGACTTCAGCAAACATCTAGGCCCAGAAAGCAGGGAAACCTGACGTGGCCCCTGCTGCCTTCTTCTCTGAAGGCTCAAGGGCTGATCCCTGCAGGAATGCCCACTCTCAGGGGTGTGGTGCCCTTACTGCTCCTCCAGCCAGCCTGATAAAAATAAACTGTCCTCTCCAGGAGGGGAGAGGCACGGCAGCTCTGACGGAAACTGTTCCTCGCATTATCTGGACTGTTTGCACAAGGGGCATGTTTTCCCTTGCAGCCCAGAGCTGGAGGACCGCAGTGTAGGATGTGCGAGAACTAGTCAGAGTTGGCTGTTGTTAAGAGGGGTGGAAAGAAGCAGCTACAACAATATCTCTCTAGTGACTTCACGGGGCTTGAACTTCTTGAGGAAACCACGTTGAAGATTTTACGTCCCAAGAGTGTAATCTCTCTGGTGTCCTGCCCTCTGTGCATTGTAATGGTGAGATAGTGAGATAGTCTTAATGCACAACCAAGAAGATTGTGCTGAAATCTCCCATAGCATTTGTAGAAACAAAGAAGACCTTCCTGGAGACCATCAGTATCGCCCTGTCTGGTTTCACTGTCCCACACAGACCCCGGGGAGAACGGTTGTTTGCAAACAAGTAAGTACTCATACCTTCTCCTTCTCCACCTTTCTTTTTTTCTCATGCGGTGGAGCGGCACTTTTGGCTACCCTGGCTGACTGAGCTTTTAAAACTTCTCCCGTAGACGTCTGAAAAACAAAACACAAGAAATTACATTTATAGCTGAGGGAAATGTGATAACCAGAACTAAAAAGGTATTGCTGTAAAGTTGGAGAGGGTTTCTAACAAGCTCCCCTAATAACAGTAAAAGCAATACCTCTTTCTCAGTTTCCTTTCCACCAGGGGCAGGCGCACTGCAGGTGAAGTCCGATGACAAGGAGTCGATGGCATCGTCGAGCCCCATGGGTTTCTAAAGAAACAGGCACCGGGTGGGTAACAGGTGGGAATCAAGTGGAAGATCAGATTACACACCCAGCAAAGGAAGAACGGACTTTGGCAATTCCTTTACCACCAAATGAGGTATGTTCATAAAATAACACAGACGGAAGCCTGTGTTGGAAGGGGATGGGTTTTGCAATATTATTTTTCGTTCCTTCCTCTAAATGCATTACATGTTAGGATATCCCCATTCTCTTTTTATGAACATTTATTTTATCCTAAAACGTTCTTGGCTCCATTTTTCTTCCTCTCAAAAAAACAAAGCAACAACAACAAAAAAACAAAACACAACTCCATATGAAGCCAGTAAGCATTGAGACAACCGCCACGTCCACCCCGCTTCTCTGAACAGACGGAAACTTCATCCGAGTTAGAGGTTACTTCAGCTGTAATACAGCACTGACAGCCCCATCCGCCGACCAAAGACACGGACATTGTCGCTTTGGATCTTAGAAGACATTTATGTAAACTCACCGGAGAGTCTGGAAGAGGTCCTGTGATGCCTTTTTTCTGAAACAAATATCAATTTGGTAATGTTGAGAAGGCAAAATTAATCCTTACAATCAGCAAAGTGTGTTGCTCAGGATTGTGATGGGTTGAATTATGTCCTCCCCAAATCCATACTGCTGAAGTCCTAATCCTTAGTATTTGGAGACAGGGCCTTTAAAGAGGTCATTCGAGTTCACAGGAGGACATGAGGATGGGCCCTAATCCAGGATAACTGATGTTCTTATAATAAAATAGGGAAATATGGAGCAGACATACACACAGAGGGAGAACATGCAAAGAGACACAGGGAGACGACAGCTCTCTACGTGCCAAGGAGAGAGGCTGGAACAGACCTTCCCTGGAGGCCTGAGAAGGAGCCAACCCTGCCCACCCTGGATACCAGTCCTCTTGCTTCCAGAGCTGTGAGACCATCCACTTCTGCTGTTTAGGCCATCCAGTCTGTGACTCTTTGCTGTGGCCACCCCAGCTGACTCCAGCGAGACCCACAGTAATGACAGTTTCTTATGCCCCATTTTATTTTCTAGATTTAAAAAATTGTGACTATATTGTTGTGATCAAGATTATATCCCAAAAAGGAAAAAGAAAAAGTAAATGGTTATGTAACTTACAGCCAAAAGTTCCCGGTATTTTGGAGGAATTGTGCCTTCTCGTATACCCAATTCCTCTATGTAGAGAGAACTCATGGGATCCTGTAATAAAATCACACATTTAGGTATATTATATAATTAATTAGCCAAGAATGTTACATGCATATTCTGAAACCAAAGTACATTCCCTTCTTAATTTATGAAACTATTGAAATAAAACATAAATCATTAAGAGCCAATACTTTACACAATTCTGAAATTCTAAGTTTATAAGAATACTTTCCCTTATTTAAGTAGCTTAACCCATATATAATGCTAGAAAGTATTCAAATCACTATTTTAAATTTGATTCCTATATTACAATACATTTTATTTTATTTATTTATTTATTTTTTTTATCCTCACCCGAGGACATTTTTTGTACAGATAGAGTGGGAGGGAGAGAGAGGAAGAGACAGAGAGAGAGAAACATCGATGTGAAAGGGACACATCGAGTGGCTGCCACCGCACGACCAACCAGGGCTGGGGACAAACTGCAACCGAAGTACGTGCCCTTAGCGGGAACCGAACCCGGGTCTCTCTGGACCGCAGGCTGACGCTCTAACCGCTGAGCCAAACCGGCCAGGGCTGACTTTAAATGTTTTTACCGTCTGATGTTTCCAATTCATACAAACTACAGTTAATGACAATAACTTTCTATATAACCCAACACCCAGCTCTATCAGATCTATAGTTATTTCTTATGTAATTTCTACAATATTAGACAGAGTGATGTCTCCTGTTTAGTTCTTTCTAATCCCATTCCCCTTGTTAATCAGAGACAGCTACCAACGTCAACTCCAAGTTTATCATATTCACCCATTGAAAGTTGAGCATGTTTTGTCCTGGCTGGTTTGGCTCAGCGGTTAGAGCATCGGCCTGCGGTCCAGAGAGACCTGGGTTCGGTTCCCACTAAGGGCTTGTACCTCGGTTGCACTGTGTTCCCGGCCCTGGTTGGGTAGTGCGGGTGGCAACTACTCGATGTGTCCCTTTCACGTCGATGTTTCTTTCTCTCTCTCTCCCTCCCACTCTATCTGAACAAAATATCGAAAAATGTCCTCAGGTGAGGATAAAAAAAAGAAAAGAAAGTTGAGCATATTTTAAAATGGCTATTCTACATCTAGTTATCCACAAACAATATACAGCATTACTTTGCATATTTTCAAATGCTATATAAATAGTATCATATTCTAGATATAATTCTTTAATGTATTTTCATTCAAAATTATGTTTTTGTAATGGATCCATGTTGATACATGAATGACCCATTTTAATTGCTATAAAGTATCCCATTTATTATCTTGTCTCCTGTTGAACACAGTCATTTGCTCATGTTTCAGCTGTTCTTATAACTCCTTGTACAGGTGTACAAGGCCCCTGGGGAATCTGCTTAGACGTGGAACTGCTGGTGGAAGAAGACACACGTCTCCAGCACCCACGAGCTCCAGGGGGCTGTCAGACCTGTACAGTCTTGACAGTCTGAGTGTGAAGTAATACCTCTCCATGTTTTCGTATCACTTTCCTAATCACTACAGAAACTTGCATTGTTTATTAGCCCATCAACTTTTCTCCTACTTTTCCATTGGGTTGTCTTTTTCTCAGTTTTTAATATTCTTTGTAAATTCTGGCACAATTCTTTTGTTGTGACCGTTGCAAGTATTTCCTTCCAGTCTATAGCATGTCTTTTTCTTTAAAAAAGAAAAAAAGTCATATAATTTTCTTGCTTTAAAGGAATTAGGAATAGGGATAAACGGAGGATGGTAAATATCTAGAAATCAAAATAAGTTCAAGTCCATGGGACTCAAGTCTCAAGGACAGAAAAGCCTTGTGACCCAATGGGCTGTATGCCAGCAATAACCTCAGCACAGACAATTGATGTTTCCTGGATCGATGTAATAGTACAGCTACCACAGGATAAACAATTTCCATCCCCAACACTGATTTCAGTTGCTGTTGTTGACACTGACATCATCCTATCTCTCTCCAAGCAACAAAACACTAGGTATACTTTTGCTCATCGTGACCTTATTTTGCTCTCACACCCATTAAGAATGAATCATTACAGACATTACGATCACGTACCGAAACTTCAGGTCCCGTATATGGTGTGTTATTTTCTTCATTTTTTTCAGGTTCTCCTAAAGTGTCTACTAAGTCATCCAAAGCAGCATCCATGTCTGACTGGAAAGAAAAGAGAGCAGATATTTAAATGCTATTTGTTATACATACTTCATTTCTGACTTTTTTTAAAACTACAAAACACCAATCTATGCAGAAAAATACCAAACACCAGACAGAAGTCCTTCAAATATCAAAATAGTTAAAATCTGATTTCGGGGGTGGGACTGGATAAAAGAAGGTGAAGAGGTTAGCCAAAGAACACATATGCATAGCACATGGATACAGACGACAGTGCGGTGAGACTGGGGGAGGGGTGGGACCAGGTGGAGGTGGCAAAGAGTGGGGGATGGGGGCCACCTGCAATCGTGTCAACAATAAAAGAAAATGAATGAAAATGGGAGCAAGAAATATTAACATGTATTGAGAGAAAGAGGTCATCAGAGAAAAATGGCAGAAATACTCTAATACGAACTAAAAAAAAAATGACAAGATAATGACCTATTTGAGACTATACAATGACTTATATGTAATTTAAAGAAATATTTAGCAATGTAAGGCTTAAAGAAAAATGTCCACACCTCTTTACAGGAAAGTGAAATGGTAAAAAGTATTTGGTTGGTAAGTCCTACACAAATATTTTTAAAGCTGGCTCTAGTTTTAATGCTATGTAAAATAAGAAATTCTAATGAGTCAGGTAGTTTATTTTAGAAGATAACTGTGCTGTATGTATGACTTATTCAAGTTCAATGGAGAAGAGACTGAAGTGGTCTCATGCTATGAACTGAATCTGAACTGAAACTTCCTATTTTCTACCCTCCCTGTTATTACTGTCCTCTATTAACAAACAGAAGAATACTATCTATAAGTAACTACTACCTCAAAAAAATCTGGGCTCAGTTCAACCTTATTAGGTTAGAAAGATAAAAAGCCATATTCAGGTAAGAACTGCATTTTTCTTAAGTCTAAAGGAATTAAGTACATGAACAAATGTATGGTTCATTAAAGCTTCCAGACCATTAAAAAAACTAAACAAACAAACAAACAAAAACAAAAAAGAACAAAGTACAAAGAATTACAACCATGTTGCTATATGCAATAGGAGAGATGCTTGGTATTATTGCTGATCACTAGTTTTCCAGAGTTATATATACAAAGAACCCCAATAAGATTTCTCCATAGCACCCCTTCCAAATAAAATCGAGGTAAAAAATGGATTGCCCTGTGTTCTTTCATCCACTGGTGGAGGTTTTTGTTCACCTGCTTGCCCAAAGATGTTCACCAACAGAAATTACTGGAAAGGGATATGAAACTTACAAGCAGTGACAGTTTACTCTGTCAGTATGGGCTCAGAACAGTATAGTGAGTGGAAGAATACCACCATCCTATTTCTGAGGTTAAGAATGGCTCACTGTGAAAACCTGAATTTAAAGGGGAAAACAACAATGTGTGGAAAGGCCCTTCACTATTTAACTCAAATGAAAAGTGATTGCTTGTTTGTTTATTTTTGGCAACTACCATATTCACACTACAATGTTAGGAACTCCCTGTTAATGTACTAGAATTTGGGACCTACTAGCTTTAGACTGATTCAACTGGGAATTTCAGAATGAAGAAGTACCCGCCAGTCTTTAGTGGTACCTGTGGTGAAAGAAGGTACACTTGCAGGAGAGAAACTGGAACGTAAATTTCACGGGTGTAATGAGTTTTCAGAACAGGTGGCTATACTATAAAATGTTATAAACATATGTAGGAAAATCACACTTTCCATCCAGTTACATTAACTTAAAACAATTCATTAAAAAGTTCCTTTAAGTTCCCCCCACCTCAGCCTATTTGCCCTCAAGAAATCAGATCACGAGAGAGACTACGTATAAATACCTTAGCAGAAACACACTGCTATCCCCTTACCTTTCCAGATGGTTTACCCACATTGGACCCAACTGGTACCGCCGATGTTAATGATTTATTTTCTTTTTTCTGGTGGGTGTTTAAAAAGAAATAAAAATGCCTTCACACATTTGTAAAATTCAATAATGTTACATATATTAATATGAATTCAATATAATATTAATAGCATTGATGACCTACTGAATCTGCTCGGTGCCAGACACTATGTTGTACCCTAGTGTTATACCCTTTTTCAGAACGGCATGAATAATGTTAATAAATGGTGATGTGGAAAGCAAGGCTCAGAGAGGTTCAGTAACTTTTGCCAGGTTACCCAGTAAAAACACAGAACCACGATTTAAATCGAGAACTGCCCATCTTCTTCTCCACTACTCTTGGCTGCCTCCCCCAGGACCCACAGCCCATCTTTGCAAGTCTCATACGTTCTTTCTGTAAGTGTCCACTTCTAGCTCTTGCTATTTCAGTCTTTGCCCCTACACAGTGAGACCTCCACACCCCTTGTTTTGGCATTTCGTCACCTACTCTTTCCTCTATTTCCCTAAAGTGAATTCCCTTCCTGCCATTGCTTCAGTTGCTCTGTCAATGACTGCCAATAACTTTCCAATCTGGGATGTCATGCCTTTACCCAGACCCTGGCGAGGACCCCTCCCGACTCTCACCCCCTACAGCCGCCATGGCTGAGGTCTATCCCGGTTCCACTCGGGCGTTTGTGCCCTCTGTTCTCTGCCACCTCTCGCATCTCTTCTGCGTGGCCCCCAACTGCACACATTCTACACCCTTCTGCCTTGTGCTGGTGATCTTGTCCAAAATCATCCTCTAGGGCCAGGGGTCAACACTTTCCGGCACAGGCAGCAACTAAATGAGCGAAGTTGCCAGAAGTAAGATAATAGGGAACCATGTCTCATTTGCAGGTCCCCGAAGTCTGGGCAGCAGAGCGTGGAGGTGGAGAGCAGACTCCGATGGCCTGGGTTTGCACCCCGACAAGCACTAGGTGCATGAACTTCAGGCAGGTCACCTCCCACACCCCCGTGTCCTCCTGTGTGGGACAGGAGAGTGACCGCACCTACCTCAGGGGTTGTGAGGATTCGATAAATGAATCTATGAGTGTGAAAGCCAGTGTTGGGCACATAACTGAGCCCTCTGTAAGTACTTAATACTTAAGTAAGTGTTAAATAAATGACTGTGCGATTGTTATGTTAAAAATACTGTGGGGGCCTGGCCTGGTGGCTCAGTTGGTTGGCACGTCCCCGCTACACCAGAAGAGATGTGGGTGCCAATTGGAGGCCATGGATCCCATATCAATGTTTCTCTCTCTAAAGTCAATAAACATATTCTCAGGTGAGGATTAAAAAAATACTGTGGGGGCCAACCCCAATGCTCTCTCCCCATTTTTGCCACTCCAAAACAATATTCTAATTGCCTTCCTACATGTCTTTCTTGGGACACCTCAAACACTTCAATGTAGCCTGTCCGAAATCAGATACCACTTTTCCTCAACCATTTCCTCTTGTGACCTCTGTCCACCTGCCAGCGGTCACCAGGGACGGGCTCACAGTTCACGGAGGCAGCTGCTGTCACGGGTGCTGGCCTTGCGCTGGCACAAGCCTTCGCCTTGGGGTGACCAACCTGGTTCATTCAGACACAAGCCCAGGTTACCCGAGGTTTCACTTTACCTTTGCCCAATCGTTTCCTAAAACCTGAAGGATTTACCTCTGCAATGCCTCCTCCATTGCTCCCCAAGCCTTGTTCTATCTCAGCTCTAATTTACACGCAATCAGGACAGCCCTGACCAGCCTCCCACCTTCCTGTCTGTAATCCATTCCGTCCCCCCATGTGGTCACTGTCACACTGCTCCTGCAGCTTGGTTTCATCGCCCCACTGCATCTGTCCTCTCATCTGCAGTGTTTATCCTCTACCTGTTGAATCACCAACTCACCCCAGCAGTCACCACAGCAACGCCTCAACCCGTCCTTCTGGTCTTACAGACCCACTGCTCACCACCTGTGCTTCACCCAACACTGGAATGCATTCTGTGCCCAGAACACATCTTATACTTTGCCACGTCCAGGCCTCCACAAGCCTGCAATCCAAGCTATCCTTCCACGCCTCACTCAAACCAGATCAAAGTCCTTGGGGATTCCTGCAACCAGACAGAATGCCTCCCGTCCTCACCAAACAGCTCCCTGTCTTAGTCTGCCTTGAGCTGCAGCTGAGGTATGTGTCTTCCTCCCACCTCTAGGAGGCCACCTGCAGCTCGGGTGTCCGGGAGAGTCAGACACCGTGCTTTAAGCATGGTAGGTACTAAAATACATACATACATACATACATACATAATAAAGTGAAGAACAAATCAATCCCACTTTGTGGCAGACAATTAGAAGCAAAGTTAAGTGATTTGCCACAATTTCCAGCTCAAGTCAGCACAAAGCAGAATTCCATATAAGCCTCTCCTAATTTTATTGTTTAGCTTTCTGATAACCCTAATTTGTATCTAACATAAAATCTCAAATTTTGATTACATTTTAAAATCTATTCTAACAGGTCTAATCCTGTCTTAAATCTATCTGATTTTCAAACCATTTCATCAACACAAGAGAGTCACGTGTACCCCTGGGGTGGTGTGGGGGTGGGGTCTCAAGTGGTTTGCTGCAAGAAAATATTCTTTAAAGTTGGGCCTTTTCATCTAAAAGATTATGTAAAGTCCACCATTACTCCATAAGATATCTGCATTAGTTTGAACAAAAACAATGTGCAATGCAGTGAAGCAGGGTGGGGGTGGGGAAGGAGAGGAGGTCAATGGGGGAAAATGGAGGGATATCTCTAATACTGTCAACAGTACAGATCCATTAAAAAACAAAACAATGTGCATTTTCTCCCGAAATCTGAGAAAACTTTCCTTACCATCTAGCCTGCAGAAGGGTACTTTCCTGTTTTGAGAAGCAGGAAAATAGATAAATACATACTACTTCTTTCTACTTTCATTCCCATCTTCTCATTATTGCTTCAGTTACTCACTGTGCCTGCCAGAGACATAAGTACCGGCATTTCTAAGGGAGATGTGTCTCCCACTGATGACTCACTCTGCATTGTTTAGATAGAAATGAAACTACTTCTCATCTTACACTTCCAGGCTAGAACCTTAATTGGCTCATCAGAGGATCTAAGGAAGACTTGCCCATAATTGGCCAAAAGGGCACGTATACTCTCTTCTGAGGGGGTTCATTATTCTCCTTTAAAAACCTCCCATATCAATTTAAGTAGGTGTCATGACTATTCACGGTTTATTGGTAGCAAACTTGTTGACAGCTTAGAGTCAAGCTTCCTCAAATGCTCATGGCAATTTTATTTGCTTTGTTTCAAACTTGTACATCTTGAAGGCCGGATCTGAGTCAACTCCCATGCTAATGCTGATTCCAGACCTTGTGCATGGCAGGTGACCAGTAAATATTTATTGAATATATGGATTTTAAACTCAATTTGGGTATCTTGCTCTCTCCCTATCCTTTAGCTACATGGTCCTCTCCACAACTTTTCATACATGAAGAGTGTGCAGTTTTCCTGGAGTGTGGTAGCGCCAGAACCCTAAATGGTTCATGAGAACCAGATGGGAAGCCCAGGTAGACTGGGACTCCACCGAGCATGCGCTTCTCCTGACAGGCTGACGAGCCTCGGGGCCCAGGTGCACTCCGCGACTGCCTGTGCTCTCACCTTGTCATCCGACTTGCCAGGTGCCACAGCTACACCAGCAACAACACTCTTCCCGCCAGCAGAAACTGTGTCCTGAGATTTAGTCTAAGGGTGGAGATAAAAAATTAACAGGACTAAGTCTCTTTGCATGACTGTTTTCAAGATTATGCATTTCAGATGTCACCCCCAAGCCAGGGTACCCTGGAGGACATCTTGGATGGGAATGGTCACTAGCTTCCACTGACTGTGATGCAACCCTGAGCACCAACAACATAAGGCGGGACTCGGGAGCTTACCGAGTCCGTGCAGGTGACACAAAGAGTGAAGTGGGCCAGGGGGGGACTGTGGTAAATTAGAGCATGTATACAGGTGGAAAGCTCCAGTCAGTTCTTGCCGTGTGAGCCCACTGTTGCCAGATGTTCAGATTTTTTGAGAGAAGCTAGACATTTTGATTTTATGTGAAATATTGTGACTTTAATTGTTGGTAGTTAATTATAAAGAATTTAAATAATACTGTGAGGCAAACAAAATACACTTGAACAAAGCACACAGGAGTGGCATTTAACTGGTGGGCCACAGACGACAATCTCTGCTATAAAGTACATTGTAAAGCAGGCCCAGTTCTGGCCTTGCGAGAGCTATCAGAGGAAAAGTTCCCCGCACATTTGTTTATTCTTCTAACAGCTGACCCCTAGCAGCTCTAGAAATATGGAAACTCTTTCCGATTTTTGGCTCTACAAGTTCATCTCTTCTAGAACAAGACCCTAAGAATTCTTGAAGACTTCCATGTAAACAGCAGTTCCCGAAGCCCAGGAGAGGGGTCCGGGAGGCAGCCTCCACCCCCACACTTCCTGTCGGTGAGGCATCACGACTGGGCACTGGTGGGCTGAAGGGGAAGGCTGGCTGGGACACCCCCGGGAACCATCCGCTGCTCTTCTCAGGCCTCTCGGGCCCACATTTCCACAAGGGTAATTTCAAAACCAGCCAAATGATAGCACCAAGTCGTTACAACACACGATACATTCAACACAGCTCTGCAGATTGACCTCCACATGTCAGTGGAGACGGAGGACCTGCGTCTTACTCCCTAGTTGTTAGTGTTTTCCTAGCTATTGATCTGATGTATTTACCTTTGGTTTTGTTGACTTCTCTGATGCTGGCTGCTCACTTGATCTGGAAGCCGCTTTTTCTTTATGAGCATGCTTGCTTCCTGTGTCTGATGCATGTTTGGGTAGGTTCTTTGGCTGAAAACACACACACCACACTGTTAACAAGATGGCAAATACAAATACTGTTCTCAATAGGGTAGAAAGTGTTCAAAACAGTTGTGTTTTAAGTAGTTTTGAATTGTGAAAATTCAGTGTGATATCAATGTGATAAAGTTTTACCTTAGATACAAAATTTGAAATAATGCAAACCCTTCCCCCCAAATTCAGCAAGAATCATTAGTAAATTGCAAATCCCTCTTTGGCCACATGGTGACGCCATTTTAGCCAAAACAACAGCAACAACAAAAAACCAAAACACCAGCCAACCTCATAGGACTTGTTTCTACAGCAATTTACATTTAAAATATTTTTCAATTGAAGTTGGTATTCAATATTATTTTATATGAGTTTCGGGTATACAGCATAGTGATTAGACTAATCATATAATTCAAATCATATAATTGAAAAAGTGATTCTCCCGGGGACCTAAGTCTTAAATGATGAAAGTTTAGTACTTTATCCCTCACACTCACAAAAGGTTTCACCTTATGATATCAAGTCCTAATGATGATCATTTACCTCTGTATGTTCCTTTGGCTTTATTTCTTGGGCTTTTTTCTCATGAACCACAGATGGCTGTCAATTTCAAAAGATAAAATCTCAATTACATTGCAGTTCATTGTTTTTATATTTCCTAACAGGCTCAAGAACAGAGTCCCCAGTTATTGGACCATCTGCCTCTCTTGAGAACGACCCAGTTAGCAGACACGTGCTGCCTGGTCAATGGCAATCCCACCAACAGACTCATAATGATAATTATCAGAAGACTAATGAAACATTTAGTTTTTCACCTAGAATGATTTTTCAGATAGGTAGGTATCTCTGAATTATGGACTGCTTTTCATAATTCATGCAGCTCTTTTGGTAACTGCAGGTCTATCCACAGAGATGTCAAGCGATCACTGTGACCACTGAGTTTATTGAATGGGAATCCTAGAAATTATTATTTTTTTAAATCTCCTTTCAGAGAAGATAAAGAAAACTGTATTTTCTTCCATTGAACGATTTACAGTCTTTTCTGTGTTACAGAAGAAAGCCGATTTCCAATTCTCTTGAGATTGGGCAGATAACCAAGAGCATTTAAATATAAAACAGAAGACAATCTCCACCTGGATGCTGACTTCTTCCCCTAGAGCAGACTATGAAATTACCATCCTCAGGGACACCAGGATGCCTTACACCAACCCAGATGAGCCTCCGTTCTCACCCAGAGGACCTCACCCTTAACTGCTCTTACAGCACTTCAGCCAGAAACATCTCTGTACTTTCCCACAGGAAACCTTGTGGTTTTATCTGAGTATCTGCTTAAGTGTGCTTGAAATAAATAAGGAGCAGCTCCCAACTGAAGAGAGACATTTGCCCTGGCTGCAGACACCCTGGGGTCCGTCACCATGTGGACAGAGACTGGCTGTCAGTCTAGACAGCCTTGATTTAAGAAAGCCAGGGAAGCTGTCTCCAAGGGAAGTCAGAGCTGTCTCCCGAGTAACTAGTGCTACCAACCAGGATAAGACTGTCAAGATTAAGCCAGCCTCTCAGGAAAAACTCTCATCTTTAAGTTATCCAGGTGCTGGGTTCAACAGACACAGTCATTCTGGAGAGTTCATCATTAAAGTAATTGGATACTCGTCACCCTTGTCCTCTCTCCTTTGCTCTTAGTGCTTATTTTTAAACAATATAAAAAATATACATTTGAACAAAATTCCTTCTGAAATATAGTTTTTATTTATAAAATAGCATACATTAATTTTAACAATATATCAATGTTATATTTATATATAGTCTATAAAATCATGTTCAAATTAATTAAATTAGCTGACAAAAATCCTTTTACCATTCAGTGCCACCAATGGAGGAACTTGGTTATTCATTATTATCGCAAAGAATCCAAATAACTCGCATTTGACTTACAACACTTACCTTAGTTGATTGTGACTTCTTTTCAGGTTCTGTTTTTACAGCCTAAATTCAGAAAAATAAAGAAGGAAAAATGGACAACATTTACAAAGTTTATCATAGATTTTCTTCAATGAAGGGAGCTGAAAAGATGACTTTGATATATTTATAAATGTAAATATTATGAGATAAGATTATTATACTTTGCTTAGAAGTACACTAATTAATAGTCTGCTTGAACTATTAGGTACCAATTTACATCTTACTTTTTTCTATGTGTATCAAAGGTATGTCAAGATGTATTGCCATGAACATTGCAGCTAATACATAAGTGAAATGAAAAAAACAAACAAACCTTCATCCTTCAGAGCCACACTAACAAGATCAATCTCTGTATGAGTGAAACTGCAGAAGTTTCAGCTGACAGTGTGAACCAATGGGAGGGTGACAGGACCATGGACACAGAAAGCAGTGACATTTATTTTTAGTGCCAGAATGTGGGCAATGAGTGATTAAGCCGACCAGAGAGTCTGTGACGGGTCGATTAAAGAAGAGTGTGAACTGCAGTTAGCACGTGCCAAGCAGCGAATGTGACCTCGAACAATGACCCACATCACCTGGTTTTTGTGTCTTTTCCTGCTAGGATGTGGTCCTTTCATCTTTTTGCTGACTGGAGTGCCTAATGTAAGAGCACAGCCTCAAGCATGGTTTCATTTATCTGACAGTCAGATCAGTACCATGTATAAACAGGGCTAAAATGTTTATATCAAAACCCATACATTGCATTTACTCTATGCAGATGGCTATAATTCCAAGAAATTGTGAGCACTTAAATTCTAATGTCTCAAGCAAAGATTTCAGTTTGGATTTACTCTTTTTGGTGATAGGAAATCTGTAAGTTTTCCATTACAAAATTAACTTCGGATCCTTTTCCTTCCTCCTCCTCTGTGTGAAGGCTGCTTGAACACAACTTCTTTCCACCTGTATTTCCAGTGTTTGGTTATGATCATGGAATAGTCACAGGTATGGTCAAAAGTTCTCTGAAATTTTGGCAACATAATCTTACAACAACTTTGTAAACAGTGGATTTGTATTGCACAATAATAATCTAGAGATTAATCTAACGTTCTAGGAATACTTCTGAAGCGCTGGCTGTGGTTTAAGATCGTTAATGGAGTATTCTACCCAACCAAACGTAACCTGCATCAAAACAGACAATTCCTTAAGAACACACATGCATTCTCAGTACAGGCAAGACATGGAAACAGGAATAAAACCGGATTCAACACTTGATGAACTCTTCAAAGTGAGAGATTAAAAATTAGGCCTAGTGCTTCCTGTCATTTATTTCCTTTTAACCTGTTTGGTGATATCAGCACAAAGTTTTATTTATTTATTTATTTTTAATTTTTTTTTTTTATCCTCACCCGAGGACACTTTTCTTTTTTGATATTTTGTTCAGATAGAGTGGGAGGGGGAGAGAGAGAGAGAAACATCGACGTGAAAGGGACACATCGAGTGGTTGCCACCCACACAACCCAACCAGGGCCGGGGACAAACTGCAACCGAGGTACGTGCCCTTAGCAGGAACCGAACCCGGGTCTCTCGGGACCGCAGGCCAATGCTCTAACCGCTGAGCCAAACCGGCCAGGGCCAAAGTTTTATTTTTTATTCTATTATCTGAAAAGGGTAAAGCCAAATAGCCTCTTAATTTATTGTGTCTTGTGCTTCAGTAATGAAGATACCCATGTTCTTCACATAATGGACTCTTGTTCTGGTGACATATATGGTTTGGGGAAGGAAACAAAGTTTATAGTCAAAGAAATATTTTAAAGAAATTTTAAATTTTGGATCCTTTCAAACTGGATCTTTGTTAATGAGTTTTCAAATGTGCTACTATGTTTTCCTGAGTTTATGCAAATGTAACTGTTTAGATGATTAACAAGGAAAATAAGCCAGCTGGTATTGTAGTGGTTTGAATCTATTAATAGCTTCTAATTTGGCAACCAAGATTTTGCATAGAAGAATGCTACAATACAATTAAGAATGTTCACTCAGAGATGCCAGCAGCTTATATGATAAAATGCACATTTTAATCAGTAGCCACTAACACATTTCCAAATTTATTTTTGGTGGTGGTGGTGGTGCCAAACAAAATAATGGTGACAATAATAACTAATGCTTATTGATCACTTATTAGTACGGGACTATTCTAAATTTCACATGTGCTAACTCAGTCCCAATAACAGTCCTGTGAGATAAGTATTATTATTTTTATTATCATCATCATCATCCCCTTTCATGGATGAGAAATCGAGGTACACAGAAGTTAAATAACTCCCGGAGGACACCCACGGAGTTCTCAATCAGCTCACTGTCTCTGGAACACCTGTCAGCTCCTCCTGGGCACCAGTGGAAGTCAAGATGTTCTTACCTAAGTTTCCTAGGACAGGCAATGTCCAGTACCCTTATGTGTTTGTTTCCTTACAAAGTCTTGTGAGATAGGTACTATTATCATTCTCCTCCAAATTGTACAGATGAGGAAACAAAGCAAAGGGAAGTTTTCCAACATCATAGCTGGTGTGGAACCAGGATTCCAAGTGAGGCCATCCGGCTCTGCTATTCAGACTGCATATCCCTGAGGTATCTCATCCTGATAAGCTGATTAGAAATAATCCAGTTCTGCCTCATACACAGCGGTGTGACTACCAATTCTAATGTGCCAGGGGCAAGAGAAAGAGAACTTAAGTCTAGACATACCGCCGCCCTTCAGAGCTAGACTGACCTTCATTTGAAAGGTAGAACATGACAAGGATTTGGTAAGGGTATTAACTTAAATTAACATCTTTTCTTGAAAAGCTCAAAATATTTGGAGAGATAATGCTCATCAAGTTTATAGAAATCTCTAGGAGGAGGCTAGTAAACATGTTGAGCCAAACTTCAGAAGCACACGGAGACGATTAATGAGAACAGTGACTAGGATCCACCGAGGAAAGAGAATTGAGACCAAAAGTGTTCCCGAGTCCGCCACTTCACCATGTCATCCTAGGTTAGTCCCTCCCTCTTAGCCCCTCCTTTCGCCTTCTGTCACCTCCAGGAACCTCACGTTCAATGCTTAGCAATGCTGAGGAGCTCATGGGGAACAGTTTGCTGACACTGGCCTTGGGAAGCAGGGCACTTGGAGTAAGCACTGGTCCTCCCGCTGAGTCCGGGACGAATCAGAATCAGGCAATGGGTCAAATGCAAACCAGTATGATGCAAAACAAATTCTGCATTTCTGGCTCTCCTTTCTATTCACTGTCTTAAATTTTCATGCCTCTAAGGTCAATGAGAATTGTCTTCTGGTAGATGTTTCTACTATAGTTTTTTTTTTTTTTTTTAATCCTCACCTGAGAATATTTTTCCATTTTTTGTTCAGATAGAGTGGGAGGGAGAGAGAGAAAAACATCGATGTGAAAGGGACACATCGAGTGGCTGCCACCCGCACGACCCAACCAGGGCCGGGGACAAACTGCAACCGAGGTACATGCCCTTAGCGGGAACCCAACCCGGGTCTCTCTGGATCACAGGCCGATGCTCTAACTGCTGAGCCAAACTGGCCAGGGCTCACTATAGCTTTAAGATTATTTTAAGACTGAGATCAGATTTTTATTTTTTAAGATTAAGCTTGGTATAAACAAATAGTGACTGCTCATAGATTATGAATCTCACTATGCATATTTTGTAAATAAGAAATTAATGTAAATGTAAAACATTAAATAACAATTTTATATTAAAAATAAATTTAAAAATTGAAGTAAATGCTAAATTTATTTTTTTATTTTATTTTATTTTTGGGTATGTGCCCCTAGCGGGAACTGAACCTGGGACTCTCTGGTCCGCAGGCCGACGCTCCAACTGCTGAGCCAAAGAAGCCAGGGCTGAATGCTAAATTTATAAAAGCTTAGATTCAAACAATGTGTTTCAAGATATCTGCAATGCCCTTTAAAAACAGTTCAAGATGAGGGCAGAGGATCCTGCAAAAGGACCAAATTATGGTGTAGTATTAAATTATGGTGCAGGATCCCACTGGGGCAGCAAAGACAAAAGACAGAAAGCAAAAGTAGGTCGGGGATTTTAAACAAAGGCAGCATAATAATAACAATGAGGGTGGGGTAGTTCTTAGAGGCACTAAAGAATATCGGCTTCATAAGAATTAGTTCAGAGCCTCTTGAAATGACTGCCTCTTTAAACCTCCACCCAAGAATATTCCCAGGAAATGGAGCTTGAGACATAGTCACTAAAGAAGAGGGTTTGGGGGGGGATTTATTTATTTTTTGTTTGTTTTAAATTTTTTTCTTTATTGATGTTAGAGAGAGAGAGGCAGGGAAAGAGAGAGAGAAACATCAATGAGAGAGAACATCGACTGGCGAGCCTCCTGCATTCCCCCCACTTGGGATTTGGTCCACAAACTGGGCATGTGCCCTGACCAGGAATCGAACCGGTGACCTCTTGGTGCATGAGTTGACGCTCAACCACTAAGACACAATGGCCGGGCTAGATGAGGGTTCAAGGCAGCTTTAGCCAACCCTTCAAACTAGGCTTACTCTATATGGCAATCCCACTGGAGGACAGCCTTTTATTTTTCTTCTGAAATCCCAAGAAATAGTCAGAATAAATCCCAAATACTACGGTGCCCCATGTGACCAAATTTCAGAAAGAAACTTCAGACAGCACCTGAAATAACCAGTGTGCTTCACTTTTATGTTCACTTAGTTCATTTCCTTTTCTTAGGCTTAGTTTTAAATGACTATAAAAATCAAACAATTTTAGTAAGAAGTTAATAATTCATATTCTTATTTAGATCCAGAGAAATGTACTTAGATTATATTACAAATAAAACACTCAAGTCTAGGACCAAAAAAATTCTGGGTGACCACTCTTTTCTAGATATTCAAAAATGATGTAGAAGTGCACAGAAGAGGTTTGAGGTGAATATTGAAAGGAAAGCTGAGTGTCCAACGACCCCCATACATTAGGAAGAACATGTTTACTTTTTTAACACAGGCGTCCTAGGACATACAACTCATTTGTCAACTATTAGTCTACATTTATTTTGCTTTACATTAATCAACTTAAGGGCATTCACCCAAGTTGACCCTGGAAGAAGACTCTTCATACCTTGGTTTCTGTGGGATTCATACTGGAAGACTTGCTAGTTGACGTGGTAGAAGTAGACACCTAGGAAGGAAAGAAATAGAAAGTGTGATTCCAGTTAATCTATGACTACATCCTCCAGCTCCTTTAACCATACTTGTTCTTACCTCTTTTTTTACCTCATCTAGAGTAAAACTCCCACAAAAGCACAATTGATTTTGCCCAGAGGGTAAAACCCTTTGTAACCAGATCAAATGGTTCAAAGTTTGAATGTGCTACTTACTAAATAATCTTGGGCAAGTTACTTAGATTTTCTGATCTCCAGTTTCCCCATTTCTCAATGTTTCTTCAACAGATAGCAACCTCCTTGTAAGTTTGTTACTGACTAATACATAAGGGCTCCGGAAATATGACTGTAGTTATTATTAGTTCTGTGACTTTGAGTCTCAGTTTCCCAAGTATATTAAATGGGGCCTATGACATCTATTTTGCAGGGTTGTATTTGAGATCAGGTGTGCACAATGTCTGGCACATGTAGGTGCTCATTAAATTGCTCGCACATTATTCATAATATATTTCTCAAGAGAGAGGGAACGGGCATAGCTCTAGGAAAGACTCGGGGAGGCTGGACTTGTCTCTGTGTCCTGTGAGGAAGAGAAAGTGGGGGACAGTGTTGCAGAGGGACTACTGCTCTATTATGTGTCTCCTCTAGCTCCTTCCTGGAAGACAAAAGGGGGTGACTGTCACTGAAACACCTTTCCTCCGACGCCAGCGGGGGGTGGAATCGGCCCTGCAATCTTGTCACCTAAGCAGTGGTATCTGCATGGGATGGAGCCCTACTCCGGTACTTAGCTTGCAACACACCGGTTAATATTAAATAGACAATGACTATCTCGGGGAGTTCCAACCCAGACTCATTAAACCTCCTTAACATTTGAGTCGTTGGTTTTAGAGCCCAGGGGTTCCATCTGGCACGAGCTGCCTCCTTAAGTAACCGGCTATCAGTACACAGCTGCTGCCCTGCCAGCAACACTTGGGCAGCAGTCTCTCATGCCTGGTCCTGAGCCACTTCAGAGGCTCAGGACGAGCCCATCCCTGCCAGTCCCTGCCTCACCCACCTCCACACACTACCACTCCCGGCGATGGTATGAACCCACTGCAACCCATGCCTGTGAACAAAATCACTTCCCCACAGACCTCACTGATACAGGGCATGTTAGTTGTATGTTAAATAACAATTTGCAGAAAAAAGCCCAAAGCTTAAAATATTGATTTTTCAACATAATCAATTTAACTCTTCTTGAGTACCCTTAAGCACCAAATGGGCATCCCCCCACTACTCCCCACCCACCCATACACCCCTAGTCCTATAGTAGGGCATGGAGTGGTCACTCCCCCATTCTCTTTGGGATAAAGAACTGGAAGATATACCAAGATACCCCCCCCCCATTGAATTAATGGACAAATATATGTATATTCACTTTTCCTTGAGAATATTTTTTTAATTTGTAAGGATTAACATCCCCTTATGCATATAATTCTGTCTCTCCACAACAGAATTGGTTGTACAAATTTCCACTAACTCAAGTTCCGCTTTGCTATACCCTGCCATTTCAATGAATTCCCTCAACCATACGAAAACCACCGAAGGCCAAGCTCTCCACCTGAAACGCTTTTTAAGCTGCAAATCCTCAAGTGAACATTAATTTATTTCATAAGCGTCCAAAGTTATTAAAACATTCCCCAAATCACTGGGGTTTCCAACCTGCCTCACTACTTTATTAAGCAATAGCTGGATGTAATTCTCTATTCCTAGAAAATAAAGACTTTCAAAGGTCCACCAAGAACAGTAAAATCCACAAGGAATCGCTGGAAATAAGCATGGAGGTGACATGGGAACTGAGCTGAAGGCCCGGGCCCGTCTGTTCTCCGCACAGATTCCCAGCCGGAAGCACTGGACATGTGGAGCTGAAACAGGCGAGCTACGTCACGCGGCCTGGAAACAAGGAAAACAATCCCTCCCCTCCCACTGCGAATCCATTCAACTCCAGCCAACTGCACTTTGTCCCATTTTTCTTCTGTTTGTAAAGACAAGGAACTTTCAATACTTGTTATCTCTCATGAGGGATTGAACATACTCTAATTCTAAATCTTCCGGACTGAATTTCTAATCATGGATGTGACTAACTTATCATTTTAAAGTTTTTTGAGTGCTAAGTCAGTTTCAGGCCCGCCTCAAATAATCTTGCTGCATTGCCAAGTTATGTAAAAGAGAGACTAAAATCGATACAAGAGAATAATCGCAGCTTAGAAAAAATTAATATTTAATTCAGTACTTATCCAATGTAGCATCTTATTTTCTGGCATTATTCAACACAATCTCTTTTCAGTGTGCTTACGTGCTACAGTAAGACGTCTGGACATGCACTGCAGGGAACGAGAGGATGAGGGGAAGATGGTATGCTCTTCAGACCCTCGGAGCATGGACACTGCTCTCCTTTCCCACATATATTTTGCAAAGGCCCCTCAGACGACAGCCTTGCAACTCTCTTACCCGTTCTGGCTGGATTACTCTTCCCACATGTCATTCTCAGGCAAGGTCTCCCTCTAAAGTAGGACCAGTGATGATGACTCCTGTTGCCCACTGATCACACAAAACCCCTTTCTCTGGCCTGGAAAGATCCAGGCTCCCATCCCAGCCTGTCTCCCAATTCCGAGCGGCTGCTCCAGGCAGCTGCCCACCCCTGTCTCAGAGCTCACCTCCCTCCCCTCTCCCTCGATGTTTTCACACAAGTGCCACCGGTCTCGGGATGCTTCTCTTCCCCAAATCCTATAGGCTCCTCCTTTCAGGTGTATCTCACTAGCTCCCAGCCCTGGCATCATAACTTCTGAGCCACTGCCATCAGTCCTAATGGGCATCCTCCTTCTCCAACCCCAGCTCACTCACTCACAGTGCCACATACAGGCAGGTCATCACACAATCCCGTCATGAATGTCCCCTCTGCCGGATGGGGTCCCTTTAAAAGAGCTGTCTGTTGGGTACACTAATCTGCTGACCAGCACTCTTGCAGCAGGTCTCTCTGTGGGGCTGCTCTTATTTACACAGGGTGTCCAGTGAGGCTTCACAAGAACAGATGCAAGACCCTCGTGCCATGCTGGCCGAGTGAAGTCGTGAGCTTGCACACAGGTCCTGGGAGTGGCCGCGCTGGGAGAGTTCAAGGCCCTTCGAAGGGGCAGGGTCCTAGGGGGCTTACTCATGCATCCTGCTGCCACCAAATCTGGTGGACAGAAGTCATTCCCTCAGCTCTTTACTGCTTTCTCTTCCACCTCAAAGAGTCCTCTCACTTGCTTGGTCCTCCAGAAGACTTTCAGTTTCTTTCTGGGCACTTCCATCTGGTTTAGGGGAATCCACACTCCCTCCCCTCCAGACCTGGCTGGCTCCTCTAGTCACTGGCTGGCTGGGTTCAGAGAGCACAGGCAGAGTGAGTCAGAACTGCTCCACCTCAGCCCAGACCTTGTTCCCCACCCTCCCGAGCCGCATGCCTGTGTCCTTCCGCCTGCAACACTAACCACCCTTCACACCGGCTCACCTGTGTTTGTGGAGGGTCACTAGGAAGCCCTGCGCATGCGCGTCCTCTCCTTGTCCACCTGATACTCTGTCAGCAGTTTCAGTCTGTGCTGCAGACCACCCGCCCCCCTCAGGAGCCACTGGCTCCCCCAGCCCTCTGCCCTGTTTCCTTCTGTGTTAATATTCGGCCACAAACTCCTCTCTCGTATCGTTGCTGTCTCAGAAAGTTTTCTCCCCATGACTATCCTTTATTAAGTGAACAATTCTCCATGACTTATTAACAGCCCTACTGTACCACCAGACTACATTCTTTTATCTTAAAGTGAGGAAGCCAAGAAAGACAGATGCGGCCCAAAGCCCTGCTCCAGCACTTACTAGTCCACATCGATTAACCTCCTGGAGCCTCATTCCTTAGCTCTAAACTGAGCAACACCGCCTCCCTCTGGAGTTGATGTAAGGGTCAGTGACGGCCTGCGGGGACACGGGCCCTGCACCACCGGGAGAGGGCGCGGTGCTAGTTCTCGCTTCATCACCGTGCCTGTCTTCATTCCTTTCGCCATCCCCACTCCTGGTCCAACCCTGTATCTCCCACACCTGGATTACATCAAGGCTCTTCGAATAGTTTCCATGTCTGGCTCTTTCCCAGCCCCACCCCAACACCCCTTCTCTAGCTCCCAATCCTTTCTGTCTATGGCTACCTGACTAATTTATCTGAAATAAATGTGGACCATGTTCCCACTCTGGTGAAATACCAAACTCTCTATGGTTCACCACTGTGTCCTAGATAAGGCCCGATGTCTTCTGCCTAATGGTAGACTCTCCACCACGTGACCTAATCTAGCTATCCCACTACTGCTCTCCACACTGCCCACACCACAGCTCCCCTGCAGCCCCCGGGGTGTCCTTCCTGTCTCACCGGCACCTCCTCAGGCAGCACAGCTCACTGGTGAAGAGTGTGAGAGGGGTCTGGACTCAAGACTGTCTTGTAGAATTCCAGCTGACAATGAATTCATGTGTAACCTCAAGCAAATGACTTAACCTCTGTGCCTCAGTGTCCTCATCTGTAAAATGGGTGTAGTAACAATTCTTACTTCATAGGGTTGTTTTAAGAAACAGTTAATATACCTGAGCCAATAACAGTGCTTGGCAAATGATACACACTAGGTAACAGCTAGTGTTACCTCCACCATCACCATCACCCCACCTTCCACCTCTGAGCCTTTAGCTCGGATTCTCTTCTCAAACCATGGATGTCTGTACTTCTCACTTGAACTCTTAATCGTATATGATGTGTTGGAGGGTTACTGAGCTCTTCTCTAAATGTGTGTCCTATCTTCTCAATGAAGCTACAAATTGATCAAGAGACAGGGGCCATTTCTGTACCCCATGGGGCACTACAGTGCTGAGTGTATCGTGGCAGAGAGGAGCTCAAAAATCCATTGATTCAAATTTTTGTTTCCATTTTCTAATCATCAATTAAAATGTCATTTAAACAAAGAATGACATATAGTTTTAA